CAAAATAATGCTTAGCTTGCAGCCAGCTTTTCAGTGGCATCAGCAGGTGCTTGTAATTTCCTATAAGAAAATGCCAAATCAGATCTCAAATCATGTATCAGAAAGTACTGCCACAACTATTCATGTGCCCTGACTTAAACCTTCACACCTCTGTCTGGGATCTAAATGGTTAATCTACCTGAGCAAATAGGTAGGAGCCTTTCTTATTTCAATAAAGTTTGATTCCTGGAGGCAGATCTTTTTTTCCAGTGAGTGTCAGATAATTGGAAGGGTAGGGTGAGGCAGGAAACCACGACACGCCTTTGTTGGGACTTGTTAAAGAGCACGGGAATAGAAGAGCAGAAGAAGAGTGAGAATAAACCAGGTTAAATAAAGAAGAGGTGAACATTTTTGGATGATCACTCAGATTCCGCACACCTTTGGGAGGACATGATATAAAGTGAAGGTGGCAAATTTTTGGTAGAAAGGAAGCGACTGAGGAGAAAAACAGATTTTCAGTTCAGTAACCAAAGCACTCCAGGTAAGTTACATTACTAATAAAAGCAGCAAAAAAGCAGAAAAAGGGCTCCTTTTTTTTCTGTCTTCCAGATTCCTTTAAGAACAAGGCAAAATAAAGGAGGTGTTACTTTTTTCTGTGGGGAATGCAATATAAAAATAAGATTGTGTAAGAGCTGGATCATTTTGGTTTTCTGTTTGTCACTCTTTTAAAGTGAGTATCCGGTGAAAGGATAGGAGATAAGAAATATGAAGCCAACCTACGGGTACATTTTTAATGCATTTTGTGAAACTACTGTAAAATAGATACAGTTTAGCTGAATGTTCTCTGTTCCATAAGGGTACCAGCATGGTGAATACAGATCATCTGTTGGCTGTTTTTAAAACTGAGCAGATCTGGAATGTGCTGGAAGAGTAATGATTGTAAATTTGAGCTTCAGATGGTGGGTGCAGGGTGTAATATTAAGTAAGTAAACTGCTTTTGAGTGAAGGTTTGTGTTGCCTTGGACAAACTTTGCTTTGTCTCAGACAGGGTTTATTTATCAGCAGTGAGTCATTTACTATGGACTTTGTGCCATATTTTTGTCATAGAAGATTATGAAGCACTGTAAGGTGGTTTTGTCACAATTAAGTGAGATAAGTCTGATTTGAGAATCAGTTTGAATCCTTCCTACGGCAGGTCTAGCAATTTGAACATAGTGGCATAAAGTGAAAGACTTCTCATCCTTTCCTGTCTTCAGACTGACTTGTAGAGTGGCTTTGGGAAAGTTACTTGTCCTTCTGTGAGTAGCTGCTTCATCTGTGAAATGGTGACAGCAGCACTTTCCTGTTGTGCAAACACTTTTTTGATTAATACTGGGTTGTTTGTCTTCCTTTCTGTGCCAGAGGCGAGAAGTTGTGCAGGTCAGAATGGCCTTGCTTTGGCCCCTTTCTCTTTGAGTAGCTCGATTAAGTAGGGACGGTGAGGACACATTTTTGAAAAGAAGGCATCTGGCAGAGCAGAGTGATGTCTGGGCAGCACTTGTTGCTTGTGCTCTGGGATATGAGCACATATTGGTGTCAAAGAAGCCAGGAGAGGTTGTGGGCAGGGCAAAATTTGGTTCCTACAGCATGTCCAAGCTTTGGTTGGACATCTAACCAGCTTTCCTGGCATTAACATCATCCAGGGAGTCTACAAAATGAGCAGATTTTAGAAGCATGGTTTGGTTGATTCAGTTCTAACTGTGTTGGTTTTAGTAAAATAACTCGAAAGGAACAACTTTTAGAGCAGAATGAGAAAGTCAGATACCTAGTCTGTGGGGTGAAAGAGAGGTAAAGGGCTATTTTTTAAGCAGTTCTATTAGTTCCAGGATAGTGACACCTGAAAGGCTTGGTTAAGAGGAAGGGGCACCCTAAAAGACATTTGACATGATGAGAGACAGTCAGTGGCATCGTTTGGAGTCGTCTGCTGAGTCTCAGAGTATTCATGATCAAAGGGTTCCACTGACATTAAATATTATTAATCTCAACACTTGCGGGTGCCTCTTTCTCCTAATGGAGTGTCTCACAGCTGGAGCCCTATTAAGGGCTCTCTGGAGAGAGCAGAGAGCTGAAAGGATGTGCTGTGAGTGCAATAGCATTCTGACATGAAAACTGGGAGGACGTTGTGGAGGGATAAAAGAATCTGAAACATGCCTACTTTTAATTTTCCACTAAAATACATCCTTGTGGCTATTCACCTACCCTTTGAAAAATGTTTATAATAAACTTTATTACCATTTCACCCAATACCTAAATTCTAAAATAATAAGAGGAGTTCAAATGTCCCATCTCAGCCTGGCTCAGTGCCTTTGCCAGTGTGCTGCACTCAGGCAAGTGGCACAGGGGATGCAGGAGGCACCCTGCACTGTCAGGCTTTTGTGGAAAGCACATACCTGAGCATGCCTTGCAATGCTGGGCAGCTGTTGCTGTCTTGCTTTCAGTGCTGTCCAGAGAGGAAGCAGTGTGCACAAGTGTGGCAGTGCCAGACCTCTCCTGCTTCCTAGTGCCAATAATGTCTGCAAATTCCCTGTTTCTGTGGGTGCCACAAGCACTCTACAACCACTGAACTTGTGTTGAAGTGGCCATAGGGGTGCCCTGTCTTATGCTGCCTGGCTTGTTTGAGAGTGATCCCACTTCACAAGTTCCTGCCTGTTGCTCAGGGATGATTCCAGTTGGCTTCTCTGATTCAACAGCACTGTTGCTTTCCACAGACATAGCCCACAGCTATGTCTTTGTGAATCCAGGTAGGAGCTGGTGAGATGAGTCAGTCCTGGCAGATAATGGAAATCCATCTCAGTCAGCCTGCTGGAGCCTGGGCTGGCTTTTGCATCCATGTGGCAAACACACATGCAACATGGATCAAAGTGCTCTGTGTGCTGGGGCCGGGCTGTGGCATGCATGGCTCCAAAGATGTGCTTTAACCTCTTGTAATTTTTTTTAATTGCTATCCCAGCAAGATATTCCCCTCTCTCAAGAGAAGGCAATAATGCAGAAGATACATTCACTACATGGTGGTGCTGGCCTCTTCCAGCATCCATGACCAACAACACCTCCCAGTAGCAGAGAGGAAGTGGAGTTCTGGGGCTACAAAGCAGTAGAAAACCAGTTTCCAAATACAAAACTGTGTTCCTTGCCAAAAACACTGACAAAGCCAACGGTGCTGAAATCTAGATAAAAGCTTCCAGCATCTTTTTTTATGGAGAGGGCTTGAAAGATGCTTCCAGTGTTGATGTAGAAAGGAAGAGTAGCCAAGATATTGCCTTTCCTTGGAGGAACCCTTACCTTGCAGGAAACTGTCATCCTGCTGGAGGAGAAACTCTCCTAGTGCATATAGTTGCAGTCTTGCATATGTCTTGGAATCAACGCGCTGGATCATCCCCTGGAAGTCCACAGTGTTAACAAGCACTGTGAGGATTGAGCAGCATCCTGCTGCTGCCACGGTTGTGTAAGGACTTGGATGTGTCCTCAGGAACCCCATTTATAGGGCTGTTTAGACAAGCTCAGGGTCAGCAGTGCAGAGTGAGGGCTGTGGGCACTGTGTTGTTCTCTGCAAAGTTCAGCTGAGTTTGTCATAGGAGGCTAAACTGGCTTGGCTGGCAGTGTGCCTTCTACACTCAAACTGTTCCTGTTCAGCTCTGGGAATAGCAGTTGTGGGCAAAGACAAAATTGAATCCAAACGTCAGATATTCCTGCAGATTCTCTGCTGCATCCTGCCCTGTGTCATTATTTATACCTGGGCAGTACAAGCGTAACGTCAGGGGGGGCTACACTTTCCAGGAGAGTTAAGTGGAATCGTGAGGATCAAACTCAAATGGTAGCTGTACTGGGGGGCACAGTCTTGGGTTCTGCCTCAAGATGAGCTTTAAAACTTGGAAGGAATTTCACCCAAAGCTTTTTTTTTAGACTCAGCCTTTTAAGTGTGTAGGTTTTGCTACAGCTGGACCTTTAAAGGGGAGACTTCAAATGTAGTGAAGGGTTTTACCCTATTGCAAGCTTGTGTGTAAATTAAAATCTCTTCTCATGGTTTGTGGCTGCACAAGATGAAATGTTATCTTAGAGAGACTAGGAGTGAGCAATTGTATGGTTCCTTCTGACAGAAGTGTTTTCTCTTCTTGATGATGTTTCTTTTCCACAATCACATTTTCTTGTGGTATTTCTGCCTTAGCAGACAGTCATACCTCTACTAGAGATTATAATTTTGACTAGAAAGGGGTCTAAGTCATGAAAAAGAGTGTACACAGTATTCACAGCATTGATTCCAACACTTTGTAGACTGACCTGAGCTGGCATTAAATTAGATCAGATCCCAAAGCCACAGACAGGGTCCTCAAACTGTCACTGCTCTGCCTGTAAAGCAAGATAAAGCACTTCCTACCCAAGTTCCTTGCTGCCAAAAATAGCTAGTTTAAAGGTACGTCCAATCAGTGCTGTGGCTTTAGGATCAAAGTACCATGAGAATGCAGTATTGCTGTTGACAGATCAACAGTACTCTGCCTAGGTTTTTCTGACAGTACTGGCAGAGTGCAGGTAACTTACTCCTGAAACTGCCTGCACAGCTAATCCTGTACTGTTGAGTCCTGCTCTGAGCAGATGTGTGGGAGTACTGTTTGGATCTTGTGGTTTTCATCAAATCCTTATAGGGGCACAGCTGGAGACCAAAATGTAGTGCCACAAAGTCTGGATATAAATCCAGGTTTAAACTCAATCACTGAGTGGATTTGCTTCAATTGCCCCTGTCTCACCTGGCAATTGTAAAGCCTGTTGGCTTTACAATCCCTGCTGGTGTTTCAGTATCCAGTGTTGTAGGTGCCAGTCTATTAGTAATAATCATATGGCTCTGGAAGGGCACTGTAAACTCCCTGGCACAGATGTCTTTCAAGCAGTCTATTCTCCAGCTGAAGGAAGCAAGTGGGACTTGTGGGGAGCTGTTGTCATTTCCTACTATTCATGGAGCTTTGAGTGCAGTCTCTCTGTTTTCCTTGCAGGTGGCAATGATATGGATTCTGTAACAAAGAAAACAAGGCAAGATGGATCAGAAGTTACTGAAAGACGTAAGGAGGAGATTTTATATTTTTATATCACACCCCAGAAAACCCAGAAGTGGATGGCAAGTTCTGTAAGGGGTTGAATGCTGATAAGAGGACTAGAACTAAATTCTGCTTCTGACTCTGGTCTCTCTGCTGAAGTCAGAATAAGGAATAGAATGGGCCGAGATCAGACATTTGGAGATGTGTATCACAGCCTGATTGTTTAACCAGATGATTGCCCTGTGGTAACATTTCTAGCCAGTAGTGTGGACATTTGGATGCTGCTTCTACCTCTGATATCAATTCCCTGTGTAGCCTAGAACATGTTCTTTAGATATCTCTTTGGGGCTTTGTGTAAAACAGAGGCTAATTTCCTGCTGGCTGTATGGGAATTAACTAGTAGGAAGCTAATAAGGGGTCTGACCATGGGCTTTGTGGTTACCACCATGGCTGTGGTTCAGAAGTGCCCAGAAATAATAATAGTTCCATGTTTTACAGGGATCTTGAAAAAATCTTTCATAACAGTGATATTCTTAGAGATAGAAAGACCTGCAAAGAAACACAGCATTGTGTGCTAATGCAACCACAGTCCCCAGGCAGTGTGGTCTTCAGGGACTTTTATTTAAATGAGTTGATCTTCTTTGGCTGAGTCATGCTCCTGCATGGCAAATAAGTAGAACATTGATCTAGTTTGGCTATATTAACATGCCATTACATCTGCACCCTTTTCTTCCCTCAGTTATTACAGAGACTGTAACCACAAGACTGACATCCTTGCCACCCAGTAAGTAATTTTCAGTCATTGCATTACTTCTGCTCAGTGTTCTGTACCTCTCATGCTATTTGTCTGCATTATATCCATTATTTCCATAAATCCCTGGATGCAGCAGGTCTCAGTGCATGAAGATTTACACTCAAAGAAAAGCAATTTTCAGGAAAGCCTTTCCCAAAATACTGGTTACTGTGGAGAAGGAAGAGTATGTGGCGAGCTGTCTGGGTATTATCAGAAGCAAAGCCACATACTCCACTAAGACTGGTAGACCAGACTCTCCATGGATTTAAGTCCAGATATAGAGTCTGCAGCCTCCTCTGCTGGGGTTGCAGTGTATTATTCTCCTGTCATCTTACCCAGTTGACAACAGTGAGTGAATCTTTTTGGGTAATATCAGAGGTCACAGGTCATTTCTACCTCTGTAGGGAAGTACAAGTACCAAGTAGGGAAGAATCCTCCGTACTCTTTATCCCACCATATTCTTTATTAGCTTGCTGCAGCTGATTTGGGAAGGAATTGCACTATCATCCCATTTATGGTGAGGGTTAACAGAGGGTTATCCTTCAGTCTGTGTAGGGAGCAAAACTTTACAAAGTTTTTTTTTTGCTTTTCCCACTCCACTGGGTGTGGAGTGGGAATGCTTGTCTGCTCTGCCAAGACACTTCCCTGCAGCTCTGATCTCTCACCAGACATGAAGCTGTACTTGTAACTGAGTGTGTGGACAGCTTTGGGTCCCTCCTGACTTGTCTTACAGTGTCTTTGCTATTCTTATCTTCTGCCTTGAGAGAATGTCTCATTTTGTGCTCATCTCTTTCAGAAGGAGGGAGCAGCAGTGGGCTCAAAACATCATCCCACACTGGAGGGAGTGGAGTGGAAAAGAGGTCTTACACCCATGGCAGCAGCTATGTGACCTCAAGTAAGGAATGAAATCATTGCACGGTGAGGAAACAGAGGGCAAAGACAGCATAAATGGGCTGAGGAGATATGCAGAGCAGGGAAGTGGGATGAGCCAGAGGTAAGGAAAACAAGGTTTGTGAAAGTAGAAGTGGCAAACACATACTCAAAGCAGAGGTATTCCTTCCCTAAAGTTGGGTTTGAGGATGGGTGAGTAAAGGACAAAATTCCCATTTTCCACAGAGAAAAACCTAATTTCAGGAGAACAACAACAAAAAATGCCATTCCCACTGTTTCTGAGAAGTCATTCAGAAATTGAATTTTCCTTCTTACATTTTTTTGCAAATCACAATCTTTCTGACCATTTCTGTTCTAAAGACAGTTTTGATTAATCTTTTTATTGGTCTTGCTGAGGGTAGAATATTATTAAAGAATTTCCTAGAAAAGGTTTTCTTGTGTTTGTGTGTCCATGGCTTTAGCACTTTGTACAGTCTGCCAGATTTTCTAGACGGGCTAAATCATTATGTGCTGCCTACTCCATGAAAACAGGATTCTTCTCTGACAGCATTCTTTGCCCAGCTGTTAGATTGTCATAGCAAAAGTTTCTAAATAATAAGGTTCCTAGCCAGGTATCTGACTCACCTCTCTGTCCCCCATTACAGAACAAAACAAATCCTTGTAGAGGGGAAAGTTGGCAAGAAAACACTGTTGGATACACTCTTATTGTAGGGATGGGTAAACAATATCCAGTCTGATCCTGCTGATCAGCGTGGATAGATTGCCCCTTATTACAGGACTCCCTTTTTGCTGCACTCTGACCATACTCCAGCATTAGATTTCATACAAGAGTATGAACACAGCTATGGCTGCTCAGTTCTTTCTCCATAGCACTGATGTGAATTAGGAGGGAAACTCTTTCCTCCGTCTAAATGTAACAGCTACTAATCACCTCCAGGCTGCCTTGGGCCTGATGCACACCTCAGTCACTCTTCCAGAAAATGGGCCAACTAAGGCATGTCTAAATGCAACTGTGGATAGTTGTTTTGGAAGGGAAGTGGACTCATCTCTGCTTTCCTTTATCTTGTGAACTGCTCTCTAGTTGTGAGGTCTCAATGCAAATCTGTCCAGCTCAGAGACTCAGGGCATGCAGTGTGTAGAGCCAAGGGCTTATCAGTCACAGTCACAACTGTGACTTATCTTGCTGAGGGCATGTTGTTTTAACTGTAGGTGGAAGTGGTAGATTGAATTCAACATCATCATCCTCTGGCTACAGACAAGCCCAGTCTCCCAGCTCTACTCTCACCAAATCACCTGGCTCGACATTTGAAAGGAAAACCTATGTCAACCGCCATGCAACTTATGAAGGTACCACAGAACACGCCACAAAAAGGAGGCCATGTGTATTGCACCCTGAGGGCACATTAATGCACATTAATGTCCCCAACAGCACAGGAATCTCATTGTGGTTTTGCTGGGAAATAAGCCAGCAGGGACACATTGTAATTATTAAGTCCTGTTTATGGTAATGCTCATTCCTAAAAGGACTTGTGGTATATATTGTTGAAAGACATTAGCAGCTCTTTCATGTGATCCTGAATAGCTCTTTTTTTAAAATGGAAATGTTTGCTGCCCACTGGGGTTAGACAGTTGCCAGGAAGACAGGTTCTGAAAGCTTTTAATGATCTTGTGCAAAGTATTAATTAACACATTTCTGTTCTTTGCAGGGAGCTCCAGTGCCAACTCTTCTCCTGAGTTTCCCAGAAAAGATTTTGGTATGTTCTTTTTAGAGCTGTTCCTCTGAATGTTGTGGCAAGGTCATGTGAGCTGGTGACTACAAAGGCTTTTTGCACATTGCTGTGACTTGCTGTACCTGTGCTGTCTCTGTACTGGGCAGTCAGCGCAGCTCCGTGACTTTGGAGGAGTTATTTGGGACTTACATTAACAGCTGACAGCCAGGTCTGTAGCTGACATATTCGAACGGAGTGTGCATACTGTGTGTCTGCTACTCTCAACTGCTTTTGTGATGCTCCCCATATGACATAGGACATGGACAGGAGAACACAGTCATGGGATACTTTATAGCATTCCCTCCACCCTTACCCTCTACCAAACTGGGAGAATAGCTGCAAGAACAGACTCTTAGGATTTTGAGCCGTTGCTGGATATGTTCTTCCAGTTGCTCTTTTCTAGAGTTCAGCAAGTATAATATATGGAAATATGAACAGGCTATCAAATCATACAGTTACACTGAACACTGGTGGCAGGTATGAGTTTGCCCTGTCCAAACTCTGAGCTGCTGATTTTACTCAGTGAAGATAATGAAACGTTATGATCGGGCCATCTTTCTGGCTCAGAGAGGAAGCAGGGTCTCACAGCACGCAGTGTTGGCCAGTGGGGTAAACAGGCCTATTAGATTCCTTTTTTCTATTTGAAATGAGAGATCACCATCTATGAACAACATTTCTGTGTAGAAAAGGAAACAGCAGCTGGTCCAGAAATGCTAAAGGTGCTACTGATTCTTCAAGGTATCTTATGGTCTAAAGGGAGCCTGGTAAAAACTCTAAGAGTTCAATTGCCCCAGCTGTGCCCCAGGAAAAGTTACTGTCTGAATCTGAGCACTCTGAGCAAGATTGGTATGTTACCTTCCAGAGATGTCACAAGCAGTAAAGACTAACACTGCTTTTTTCTCGTTGCTGTTCACAGCATCTACCTCCACCAGAGGGAGAAGCCAAAGTCGAGGTGAGTGATACTGTTCTTTGAGAAAGCTTCTTTTTTTCTTCAGTGTAATTCAGGTGTGTTAAATGGACCCATTCTTTAGCTGGAATCTATCAGTCCACGTAGAGCAGTCAGATGAGGTACGTGAATTTACACCACTGCAGATGTGAGCCATTTATCTGTAAGCAGTTGTTTAAACAAGCCTGGTGTGAAAATTGACCCTGTTGAAGGTCATGGTGGTTTGGAGTGTGTCAGAAAGGAGGATCTACTTGGGAATCTGGACATCTGAGGGCATAGGACATAGTCTTCTGTCTTGTCTGTTCACTACAATAAACTTAGTCCATCCATACTCTGGGACCTGCCTCTGACATATTTACAGTAACTACAGTCATGTTTCTCCCACTGTGATCTGTCTTGCAAACCATAAAGCCATACCCTGAAGTGATATCATGCTGCTGGTAAGGAGATGGGGAGGAAATTGGGGAGTTGCTGTGGTCTGTGTAGGCAGCTCACTGTAAAGCTCTACATTGTTTAAATCATTCAGTTCTTCTAATAATTTATTAACAGTGTTGGGGAAAGAAGGATTATATTAGTTTGTAAGAGTATAATATCTGTTCCCAGTTGGTTGAAGAGGAAATTCTAATGTTACTTTATCCAAGTTAATTTTAGCAGTGGATATAAATCAAAGTATACTCTTGCACACTGCTCCTGCAGAGTGTCACATTTCCCAATTATTCTGCCTCAGATTGTCACAGTCTCCTCTAGCACACTACATACCTGAGCTCCCATCAGAACTAGGCCATACATAATAGAGCAGACACCAGAGAATCAGGTCCAGCTTCTCATATTACTTCAGAAAATAATTCTAATCCATCAGCTTCTCCACATGAATGCCAAGATAGTGTTTCTTTTATAGTGCATGCGCTGTCAGATTTCATCTTGAGAAGCATGTATCACATGTCCTGGCTGGCTACTTTGCTTGTGGGAAGCAAGCTTAAATGGTTGCCCCAACCAAATCACATTAACTTTGTAGTCTTTTGTGCTGGACAGAAAAGGTCAGTAATAATGTTGAGTACCTGGTGATAATGTTGGCTTAAAACTGGCCTGGTTACATTCAGTGAGCCAAAAGAGAAATCAGCACATGATAAGAGACTAAACCATACAGCCCATTGCAGAGATGGCAGTGTGAATTTTACCCAAGAAGTAATAGGGAATTTGTGTATTTAATAAGCTTCTTTTGGCTCTGTAGTTTTTTCTTCAGAAGGACAATAAAAATAGTATTTATGCTGAGTGGGGATATCAGTGTCATTGAGGACTGCATAATTAGGCCTTCAGTATGTCTGGCGATAACAACAGTATTGACTTCAACAGAGGCCCTCAATGAGTGAAATATAGCTCCCTGGAATTTTAAGTAACAAACTGTGACCCCAAAACAAAAAGTCACCCAAACCAATTTACAACCAGTTCACATGGGCCATGAGCGGTGCTCAGATCAAGCAGCAAGACAGCAAGATGGATCATAAACAGCAAGAAGGAAGGCATTCATTTCAGCCTGAAGATTCATTCCAGCCCAGGGCATAAATGTATCTCACTCCATATTCATGATCTGCTCTTTATCTTCCCAGAGAGTGAAATACGAGTCCGGCTGCAGAGTGCATCTCCCTCTGGCAGATGTAAGTGCCATGACTTTTATTCCAGGGGTATCAGGGATAAGATAGAGGATGTTGCTGCTAGGGGTATGTCTGCAGTGTCTCTGGAACCCAGTCTTCATGATGACAGATAGCAGCATGTCATTCTCTTTTTCCTGTCAAGAACATTAATTTTTCTCCCCTCTCTGAACAAGGAAGCATGCTGTGGGCTGGGTGGTGGTCTTGCAAAGATGTAATTTTACTTAGTCCCAGAAGCAAGGCTGTAAAAGTACTTAGTCCCAGAAACAAGCCTCTGAAGCTTTGTTATTAAGTGGCACCCCCAGAAAGTAACAACTCAGGTAAATTCCACTGAATGATTTATCCAGAGCAAGATTACAGATCAGTGAAACAATGGCTTTTGGGTGACTCTGGACCCTTGTCTTTTCCTGCCAGGGACAGAGTTGGATGACGTGAAGCGTTTGCTGAAGGGAAGTCGATCGGCCAGCTGCAGCCCCACACGATCACCATCAAGTACACTCCCGATCCCAAAAAAGGCTGTGGTGGAGACAAAGATGGTCACTGAGAGCTCTCAGTCAGGTACTTGGCTATTACCGATGTTGCAGTAATTCCAAGGAGTATTTGCCCTAAAAAATACTCAGTTGCTAAGAACATTCAGGTAAGAATACATGATCTGTGTTCCAGACAGAGGCAAGAATACGGGAAAAGGGTCAGAATGCTGAAAGACTGTCCAGATGTTGCCATAACAAGATAGGGTAGCTTTCTAGTGACTAGTCTAAGTTCCACAAATATAAACCCATTCCTGCCGCGACCAGGTTTAATTCAGAGATATTTCTGGCAGAGATAAAAGCTCTAAGTGAATATATCTGAGAGTGATTTGATCTCTTATCTCCAAGCAAGATGGAGATAGCAATGAAGACAAAATTTCAGTGAGTGTTGGATTTATTGGCAACACCACTTGATAATAACTCATTAGGAACTGTACTGTCAGAACAGGGGGGAATGGCTTCAAACTGAAAGAGAGTAGGTTCAGCTTAGATGTTAGGAATAAATTCTTTACTGTGAGATTGGTGAGGCAGTAGCACAGGTTGCCTAGAGAAGTTGTGGATGCCCCAGTGTTCAAGGCCAGGTTGGATGAAGCTTTGAGCAACCTGGTCTAGTGGAAGGTGAGTGATCATGCTACCAGGTCAGTCTTTATTCCATTGGTTAAAATTTGGGTGGGCTGTAATCAGCTGACATTTGAGGTCAGTTACACCACATTAACTTGGAGTCTTTGTGTTGATTCCACGAGGGTGATTCAAATTTAAGGCAGATGAAATTGTTTGCCATATAAATCTGCAGTGCATGCTAAGCCACAAGCCTGGTCTCATTGAAAACACTTCTGTGTGTTTGTTTGTTTACAGTGTCAGGGACATATGACACAACCATACTGAATACTGCCCTCCCTTCATACATGTGGTCCTCTACTCTGCCTGCTGGGTCTTCCCTTGGTGGATACCATAACAGTTCCTCCTTGATCAATGCCATGTCTCACTCCACAGGATCAGGTATGGATGATCCCAACCTGTACTGCCTAGGTTTGAAGGATGTAACTCTACCCTGAAACTGGGTCAAAAGCAGTGTTTGGGTTTTTTTTGCACTGCAAGAACTAAAATGATGGAAGAATCGAGATGGCAAGGGATATGCTTGATTTTTTCTGATTTTTTTTTTTTGTAATTTGGTGCTCTCTGCTTTTACACTGACTGTATCTGAAAATCCTTCTTTGTGAGGATCTATTGTCCTGACTGTCTGACTGTTGCTAAACTTTGATGATAGTTTTATCAATGAGGTCAAGCTCACATTCCCCTTAAAAATTAGTTTCAGACTCTAATTAAATTGGATTACCTGGCCCATTGTAAGAGTGACTCATACACTGAAAATGTTATAAGTAAGAGTTGAGTGTGCTTATACCTGGTAAGGCCCACTTTTAAATGCTGCATTTCCCATCTCTGGAGAAAAACCACACAAACCTTTATCATGGCATACTGTTGAAAGTTTTGCTTTCTCTCACTGTAACATGATTGCAACTTGTTTGAGGTAAGTTTTTCCCGTTTGTCAGTTCAGTAAAATGGTGGTTTGTTGTCATAGTTTTCAAGATTTTTCCTCTGTGTAATTATGCATTTTCAGTAATTGCATTTCCAAGTTGAATCTTAATTTCTGTGACTGTGCCACTGTCCTTTGGGTACTGGATTTCTTATTTCAAAGAAGTAATAACATTTCATTTCCTCTTTTTGCAGTTTTTGGTGTTCCAAATAATCTGGCTCCCAGCAATCATACTCTGAATACGGGCCTGAGCTCTTCCTCTACAGGTCAGATTTTTCTTTTCTTCTCTTCAAACTTCGACAGCAACACATTTCTGGCAGACATGTGCAGTGAAATAATGCCTATATCCCAGTTTCTCTCCTGTTCCTCATCTCAGTGTCGGCAGCTTGTCTGCACACCCAGTTATTCAGTTACGGTGGGTTTATTCTGAGTTGGCCCAGTCTAGCTGCTGTTAGCTCCTGTCTATTTTTGTCTGGGAGGCAGGGAAAAGTAGAGATTTTCCAAGGAGAATTGTTTGTCTATTGAAAGACACCTGTTAGGGCAACCTGTTTCTTCCCTAGAACAACTCAGGGCAATGCTTTAGAAAACGAACTCCTATGTCCTAGTCCATAAAGGCCCACTGCTTTTCTGTCAGTTTTCCCTGTAATTTCCCTTTGCTTCACCTGGCTCACGGCTTCTGGCAGACTCTCTTCAATGTCACTAAACCACGTTTCTGCCTTTCACAGTCACACATGCTATGTCTGCACTGCACAGTGCCATCATGCAGGGTCTCTGACTGCATGATGAGCAGGGTGTACAAGAGCAGTCTATACAGTGATTCTGACACCAAAGGGGCTACCTTCCAAATTGTTTGCTTGTCTCTGGGCAGTAGTTTGACACATACAGTGTGCAGGTATCTCCTTAAATTTCCCTTAGTCAGTCCAAGCCAGTTTACTGAATTTTACTTTTTCCCAACTGCCCCACCTGCAAAAATGTCCATGCAGCCATGAGAATAGCCTTGTAATATAACTCAAGATAATGTTTTAAAATGGTCACCATTACTGTCCTGGGCCAACAATATCAATACAGCAACGTGATCTAAGGAAGAAATGGTCAGGCCTGTGATGCCTCCAAACAGCTGGTGAAATTTGTCGGGAGAGGTCATTGTTATCACTGGGTTTGGTTGGGTTTTAGCCAGAATACCACCTGTGCTGTGGGATTCCTATAACTGCCATTGCAATGTTTTTCTTTGTAGTGTTTGGAGTTCAAAACAACCTGTCTCCAAGCTCTTCAGCCGTGACCCAGAATGCTACTGCAGCCTCTGCAGGTCAGAAACAAAGTAAGCCTGGAGAAAGGGCCACCAATGTGTGCTGTCTTCTCCCACCTTTTCTGTAGTGACTAGAAAGTTCTTATTGACAGAAGATCCCTCATTACCATCTTCTTAGTGCGATATGAAGGGATACTGAGCAATGTTTCCTCTGCTTTGCATGTGCAGGAACAGCTCCCAGTGCCTATGCACTAGAGATTTGCTGGCTGGGGAAGCCCTTGATTGTTTGAGTTGTCCTAGGTATGCTGAATGAGAAAAGATTGTTGAAATGGTTTGCAGCCCAAGGTTGGTGTGTGTAGATCCCTTGACATCCTTCATCATTGTCATTCTTGAATTTCTTCATTGCAGCATATGGGATGAAGAACACTTCTCAGAGCAACACCACGGCAAGCACTGCTGTGTCTGCCTCAGCGGGTGAGTGTGTCATTTATAGCTGCTTGGGTATGGCCTTGTACATGCATATCACAATAAAAACAATTAGAGATTCAGCCAGCTGAGTGACACTCAGGTGCAAAACTTGTCAGTAGCCAAGTCTCCTACCAGTATCTTTCTGAAAAGAAAGTGAGTCAGAAGTTAAGAATGAACAAATGAGCTGATTTGATTCAGATCTCCCCCATCCTGTGATAATATGGATTATTTAATTGCAGCTATTTCTGTTCAGCAGGCAGGAAACTGGATAGAGGAGCACGTACTTCATTTGAAGCCAAAACATTTGCAGGGTTACTCTTGAACATAATTTTGCAATAGTACCAGCTTCAACTACTCAAAACCAAAAGAATTGACTCACATGTTATCAGATTAGGGGTTTTTTAATGAGAGAAGTTGAAGTCTTTCTAGTGCCCTTTGTCCTTGAACAGTTGAAATTCATCTTTCCCATCTCTTTTCTGCAACTCTGAGTTATAAATTACTTTTCTTTTTTTTTTTTGTAAGGAAAACCAAGTTTGTTTTGTAACCTAAGGACTCCCAAAGATGAGGCTTAAAAATAGGTGTAAAGACCACAGAAGTTATGATAACATTTCTAACAAAGGTTTGCTCCAGGTTTCTGCTAGAGTAATGGAATAATACTATTCTGGTTATCTTGATTTTCTATGTTGTGTCAATTTGTGTGCAAATTCACATTTTTACACCATGCCAGGCATACTTTATAATGCCTAGCGGCACAAGAGTGACCACAGTGATGGCTTTGAACCTTGTTTGGCCTGTGCCAAACCTCAGTAAACTGTAGTTTAATGTCTCCTAACCCTGCCTGGCTCCCAAGTATGTGGAGGGCTTTGTGCTTTACAGAGTAGCTCCTCATCTTGGGCTGACCCCTAAATGTCGCTCTCAGACTGGGTTTCTATGATTCCATAGTAAGTGTGTTTGAGAAGTGGAGAGGTCATTCAACAAATCACTCCCATATGTGATTGAATTCCAGATGTTCTCCGTTCCTGGTAGCAGTTGCTTCCCTGCTAGTGAAATACACATCTCTAAAGAAACCTAGTGACGTGCACAGCTCTCAACTTCAGGGACCACTGTGTCTCTCACAGGGGGCTCATAGTAGTGGCAACCCCAATCACAATGTGACTACCTATTTTAATGAACCAAAGTGGTGTGGCATGTAGTTATGAATTCACACTCATCTCCTCTTCTTTATCACCTTTTACCAATATTCCAGGAGGAACTGTCTTGAGCTCCCAAGGAGATGACATTTTGCGTAAAGACTGCAAGTTCCTGCTGCTGGAGAAGGAGAATGCCCCAGCAAAGGAGATGGAGCTCTTGGTCATGACAAAGGACAGTGGCAAAGTCTTTAATGCCTCTGCCACTGGGCTTAATGGAGGTAACTTCCTTCTTTTGGGACATGTGTATATTCTGAGGGCAGAGAGTGAAGTTCTGGCAGGCAGTTCACCTTTAACCATGTCAGCTGCAATCTGGGTCTAGCTTTTGCATTTGAAGCACCAGAGCATGCTGTGGATATTTCACAAAGCTCAGGAGCTTTGAGAGCAAAAAAACTAGATCTGGTTTTAACAGGCAGAGCTATTGTGTCTTCCCAATAAAAATATGCATTTTACCAATGAAAGAAGATAGGCCTGGTTCAACTTCTGATGTAATGTTTTTAATTATATTTGATTCCTATTCAGGATCCTTTGCAGATGATACCTTGAAGAAGGAGAAGCAGGGATTTTCTTCCTCTTATGCTGCAGATACTGGCCTAAAATCAGATGCAAATGGTAAGAGTTTGTCCCTGTGGAGATGCAATAGAATTTTTTCCTTTCATCTCCATTACTACCATTCCCTTTCAAGCCCCTACTCTAAGTTTTGTCATGTAAAGTAAGATTAGTAAAATCTCTTTTACTGTTGTTAAAACAGGAGGACTGAAATCCATGCCAAAAAGAGACAAAGAAACTTATGCAGGTAAGTGACACAACTCAGACTTTCATTGAAAGAAGCACCAAAGCACAATATACAAAAAGCAACTGTTCCTGAGGGACATGGGTGATCTCTGTGCAATGACATCAGAGAGAGGAAATATTCAGGAGGCTACCAGAGAAATTGGTACCAGTGGTTTGATTCTAGATGAGTGGGCAGTTGAAGTAATCTTTTATTGCTAGAGAAAATCAGATAGCAGACAGTTCAACTGCATCCTGTTACCAGGACAGATTTCGGGGGAAGAGAGGGCTCAGACAGACCATGTTGACTATTGAGCCATTTTTGGCTCAAATCTGTCCAAAAGATTGACCCCCAAGCAGACAGTTTTTTTCAGCTGTTATTTTAAAATGCACTGGGTGTCGTGTCCTGTTGGAATTCCCTTTGGAAATACTGTTCCTGTCTTCCACAGGAATTAGAATTACACTCACCATGTGTGGAGTGTGGTGTAAAGATTTCTTTTCCTAGCCTTTTGTATAATGGATTAGAACTTGGTATCCTTATTGTAAGAGATTCTTAACTCTGAAGTCAAGGAACTCTTCATTAACCAGGAGACTGCTCCTTCTCTCTTCCAGAAATACGAAGTGGTGATGTGGGGGGTGCAATTGGGTCAGCACCATCCTGGTGTCCCTGTGGTTCCTGCTGTACCTGGTGGAAATGGCTCCTGGGTTTGCTTCTAGCCTGGTTGTTTCTCCTTGGATTGCTCTTTGGACTCATTGCTCTGGGTAAGAAATAACTGAGGAACAAAATGATGAATGGGATAGAAAGACAGAGAACGTAAACTGGCAAAGAGGCCAAGCACCAGAGATACCGAGGCAGAGAACTGAGGAGCACATTCAGCTTGATGGTGACTGCCACTAAGATATTAAAAATGGACAGAAAGAATGGATGAGGAATATAAACCTTTGATGAGGAGTTATCTAGTCTTGGGGTGAGCAGGATAGGAAAGCTCCTGAGATCTGAGGTCTTACAGCTCTGGGACTAAATTGGAAAAAAAAGGATACAAAGAACTCTGCAAAACTCGTTGGCCATAGCAATCTGACACAGTGTTGCCATGTCCCTGCTGATAGCAGAAGGTATTTCAGACCTGCATATGTGGCAGAATATTCCATAGCATTTTCCTTTGACCTTCCAGCGGAAGAAGTGAGAAAGCTGAAATCTCGTGTGGAAGACCTGGAAAAAATCAATGGTGGCCTCCTGGCAATTAACCAAGGGAATTCAAAATTAGAAAAGGATGCTAGAATAGACTTTCTTCATGGTATCTCACCCTCCTCGACCTTCCCTTATGAAAATGAAGAGTCGGTCTGGTTGATGGTGAAGAGCAGATTGAACAAGGAAATGGAACGAGGTGAGCAAATTCAATACCTGTGATGCTGCATGAGACCAAGTGATTTCAAGGGGAAAGGGAGCATTTGCTTGCCCATGGGCCTGAAGACTAGAACTTTTTGAGTTCAATGAAGTCTGTCAAAAGTAGTGTCCTCTCCTATCCTCAGAGACAGACTATGCTGGATCTCAGGGTGCTACCTCTAACATTGTTGGTGCATCCCTTAAATCCAGGAGAAAGGGGAGAAGAAAGAAAGTTGTAGACATGCCATCCTGGGCCAGGATATATCATGTTTGCTGTAGCAAGTGTGTTTTCCATTTTGGAAAACCTATAGAGAAAAATGAACCCACACCTTTTTTCTCATGCTACTTTTGTTAGCAAGGGAAAGATTATTTACTTCCATTTAGCAGAGGATGGAAAGAGGTTGACAAAAGACAAGCCTACATTCTCCCATCTTTCATGGGTTTCATGGATTTGTAAAAACAAATTTACTGTGCTGCCTGTAGCCTCAAAATCCAAATAGATGGATCCTTGTACGTGAAATGAGTAACTGCTCTCTTGTGTAATGCACTCTAATAGCCCCTTCACTTCCTGTTACAGGCTACTTCCGAGGGGAGAAAGGAGAGCGTGGTGAGAAAGGTACAGCCATATAGTCCTTCTCTTCCCTTGTCCGATTCCTTGGCTCTGGCAATGCACAACTTTGGAGGGGATGTTGCCACAAGGGGCAAGGGGCAGTGAGGAAAATGAAGATGGTTTATGCTTAAACAAAAGGAATCATAGAATTGTTTAGGTTGGAAAAGACCTCTAAGATCATGGAGTCCAACTGTAAACCTAACACTGCCAAGTCCACCAGTACATCATCTCCCTAACTGCCACATCTACGTGTCTCCAGGGACGGTGACTCAACCACTTCCCTGGGCAGCCTGTTCCAATGCTCCATAAGCCTTTTGGTGAAGAATTTTTTTGTAATATCCAATCTAAACCTCCCCTGGTGTGGCTTGAGGCCATTTCCTCTTGTCCTATTGCTTGTTACTTGGGAGAAGAGACCCACCCCCACTTCACTACAACATCCCTTCAGGGAGTTGTAGAGAGTGATACGGTCTCCACAGAGACTCATTTTCTCCACCACCAGCTGCCTCAGCTGCTCCTCACAGAATGTGTGCTCCAGCCCCTTCACCAGCTCTGTTACCCTTGTCTGGACTCACCCCAGCACCTCAATGTCCTTCTTGTAGTGAGGGGCCCAGAACTGGAGACAGCACTCGAGGTACCTCACCAGTGCCAAGTACAGTGAGACGATCACTTCCCTGGTCCTGCTGAACTAAAGCTAGTTTTCCATGTAAACTGTAGAGTCTCTGATCCCATGCAAAACAATATAGGAGGCCAAATCTTGCATTGTGCCAATATGAAAGGCCAGATTATGGTTGTCACTAGTGGGATGGGTTTGATCCTGCACTATTCAATTATGAAGTGTCCCTGTTCACCCTTAACTCCTTCATGTTTCAGTGAAGGTGGGAAAGCAACTAGAAAACCAAAACGAATGAGTAGTCGTAGGAGATATCTCCAGGATGTCTCCTGATTCAACTTTTTTTGCACTTTTCTCAGGTGACATGGGAGTGCAAGGTCCCAAAGGTGAGTCTGGAGTTACATGCTTTCTCAGGTAGATTGGCAGCCTGCCATAAGGTCTGGGTAGCAAACGGATTTTTGCTACTCCGGAATTTGGAGAAGCTGATGTTAGTTGTCTGTTAGTTCAGATATTGTTGTGATGGTTGGGGTTTTTTTCTCTTCTTCTGGGCAAAGAAAATTTTAGAGTTCATAGTAGAAAAGAGAACAGATCTCACTTTGAATGTAGAACTTCTTTCACCTGGATGAAAGTCATTCCTGAAGCCAGGCTCTACCTGGTTTAATCACAATGTGAAGCACAGAGCGCTTCAGAGGATTTTGCATGGTGTGAATGATTCAGTTCTTTACATAAATACAAGGGAGACAGTAAAACTTGTAAACATCCTAGGAACATAAACTACTTTTATGGAGGTGAGGGTCAGCCAAAGTGACAAACAGGGAAGACAATATTTCCCACTGACTGTTTATTTCTTTGTCTCTACAGGAGACCGAGGACTTCCTGGTGTTCCAGGTGAGCTATAGTACAATTCCCCTTTGAGGGAGGACATTTAGTGACATTACTGTAGGCAGGAACAAGTTTTGCACTGCAGATCTAGCTCAGGGTGGTTCACTAAAGAGTCAATATTTAGCATAGACTGTATCACTTGATTAATATATTGGTGCTGAGCTACAGATGCACCTTAGAGACTTGGTTACAAGCAAGGCCTTGGCCAGACTTCCACTTAGTTGAACATGCTGAATTAGGGGTTGTGAAGATCCCTGTCTACCACTGAAAGAGTCCTACAGCTGCATAAGTGCTTAGCCCAATTTCCTTGTGCTTGTATATATTGTGTTCTTCTAAAGACATCCCTGTTCAAGTGCCCACCTTCTGAGTAATGTATTCTTTACCTCAGCTGATTAATCCCTCCAGGCTTCAGGTTCTCCTAATTTGCATATTATTCTTTCATGCTGCAGAGTCAAGAACTCTGAACATTTGTTGTGTTTTTCTTTCCAGGCATTCCTGGTCCAATTGGGCATCAAGGACCAGAAGGACCAAAAGGACAGAAAGGCAGCATGGGTAAGGCTTTCTGTCAATGCTGTGAGTCTTTCACAACTGATTGACAGTGGCATGGGAATACAGGCACCAGACTGGTGTGACCATTGCCTTCCCCAGTGGAGGTGGCTATGAATCCTTTTGCCCAAGGCCTCCTGTAGACACTTTATTTTACATGGCATTTGTTTCCTGTAGGTGAGCCTGGAATAGAAGGTCCCATGGGACAAAGAGGTCGAGAGGGTCTACCAGGGCCTCGAGGGGAGCCAGGACCACCTGGACTGGGAGAAAAAGGAGACAGAGGTAGGAACCAGGTGTCTCGTTGCATAAAGCAGGGATGGACAAAAGCTGGAGTTTGCTCCCAGTTTATAAAACACCTCAGTAGCACAATTTGATTTCATTATTCCAATCCAGATTTCACATCAGACATTTCCCAGCATAGACGAATATGGCCTAAAGAATTCTTTTTGCCAAACTTATAATGGGTAAACAAGGGTTTTGGTTTGCCAGATCTGACAGTCAAGTTTGAGTTTGACAGAACCAAAAACTCTTTCCTATAAAGGTTGTCTTCTTCCCTGTTATCCCAGTCACCAAAGCTGGGGGGCTTGTCTTGCTGAAGCCCAGGGAGCTCATATCTTTTTCTTGAACAATGCGTGCCTGTTTGGGTGTTTTGAACCGACCAGCAGATTATTCATGACACTTGTCAGAGAAAGAATAACAGGAGATGGGATAAGGAAAAAATGGGAGTACAATTATATTCTACTGTGACTGTTCATGCTCTTATTTTGCAGGTGCTATTGGTGAGCCAGGTCCTCCTGGGCCACCTGGACCCCCAGGTTCTGCTGGCCTAAAAGGTAAATAAGAAGATGGAGAGAGAGGACCTAGCAGAGTGGTTAGGAGTAAACGAGCACCCCAACTTTCCTGTTTCACTTGCGTTGCTCTGCAATAACCAGAAAAGTGAACTAATGGTCTCAGTTTAGATAAAATTTACTTTGGTAGTTACACATAACCTTTACAACAATAAATTCTTGGAGATTTTTAATGAGAATGGGGAGTGGCAGGGAAGTTTCTCAAAACACCAGTCTTTAAGGTGTGTGATATTTTCAGCTGGTTTTTTCTTTGCTTTCAGAAATAATAAGGTAAACTCCATTTCCCTAACAAGCTTCTAAAGAGTTACAGCTCTACATTCCATGTAACAGATAAAAATTGTACTGTAAAAAATGGGTCCCATGTGAAGCACAGATCTCAGCATTTCAGTCAAGATGGAAGGATTGTGTCTCTTTAGGGAAAAACACTTCCTCAGTGTCACAAAGAACTAAGTTCTGTAAATTCGTCCTGGTTTTGAGGATGCCAGTGATGCAAATTCTTCCAGTGGCTGGGGAAATTCCAATCTGCTAAACATCTATTGGGTTATGGATGTTCTTGGACAAACCAAAATAGATTTGTTCATTTTCTAATTGTGATGGTACTGAAAGAAAATCTGTGTTCCTTGTTCACAGGTCTGATGGGTTCTCCAGGCCCACAAGGTCCTCCAGGTGAGTGCTGCATTCCTTTGCTATGGCATCTAGAGACTAGGGAAAACAAAAACAGAGTGACAGCTTCTCACAGTTTTTCTGCTTCAGTGATGAATTCTGGTGAGTGGGATGAATTAAAACCCCTGTTTCGTTTTTGTGCAGGTCCTCCTGGCCTACAAGGATTTAGAGGAGAAGCAGGTCTCCCAGGTGCTAAAGGTAAGTTTCTCTTCCCCCTGCCACTTAGAGCAGCACTGGCTGATGTGCTTTGCTGGCACTGCTTTGAGCAGCAGACTTGATCTGAATTTGATGCTATGGGCAAACAAAAGCATAAGACTGAGGAAAAGGGAGGAGAAACCAAACAGTGATTGCAAGCAAATATTGAGAAATACAGGAGACACAGAGGTAATAGAGTAGTCTAGGTGAGGAAATGCATTTGATGGATGGAGCCGTATTGAAGGAAAGGAATTTCAGTTTGAGTTTGTCTGCTATCAGAGGATCTGTATTCCCCATGATTTTTCCTGATGCATGAAATTTCTTTCCCTTATGACTTACAATTACTATTCTTCAATCCTCAATGTGTCTTTCAGGTGAGAAAGGAGCCAGTGGACCTCCTGGACCCAAAGGTATGTTGATCAATTCGTTATCTTTTGTGGTTATTTTCTTTAGATTCCTTTAGATATGGGTACTGTCCATGGGTACTAACCCTATCCTTCTTTGGCTTTTTCTTCTGTGCTCTTGTCAGAAAGCAGACTATTTTCTCTGATGGAAACATTTTACAGTGAAACAATATCACATAATCCTTCCCTTTTTCATATTACAGGTGATCAGGGAGAGAAGGGTTCTCGTGGAATGACAGGTCAGTAGATGGAACACTGGAGTAACAGCCTATCTAATATACATGTGCATTATTTGAGTTTTCAAAAAAAGTATAGTCCAACCAATCCCAGTTAGCTTTCTGAAAAAGTATAATGATGTTACTGATTGTAGGAGTTTTATTTTTGCACCCAAGTTATAAACAAACAGATCCCATTCTTGATTCCAGTAATCTTGGTAGCGATCTTTGTATTTAGCTTTAGGGAAATCCTCCCTCACAATACCCTGTATTCACACATCTCTTGAGCTTTTCTAATGCCCAGAGACAGTCATGGATCATGAGTTCTGAACATTCTATCAATACTGGTTTTCAGTTGCAAAGCAGAAAATATATCTGACAGTCATAAATTGTATCTTCACCAAGTTTTGTTTGATTCATTTTCATACTATTTTGCTACAGGTGAACAAGGCTCAAGAGGAATGCCTGGACCTCCAGGAGAACCAGGGGCTAAAGGACCTGCAGGTGGGTAACAGAAAGCAGTTACATTTGTATGTGAGGCAATGTCACTGCCACCCAGAGTGTGTTTCTGTGAGCACAGACAAGGAAACAACACAGGTGTGGCATCACACTGGTTTCTCTAGACAGCTCCCAGTAGTCTGCACTCAGAAAAGGTGTCCTACAGCTAAGTTTTGCATGAATGTTTCCTGGATCTTCAGTAACTGCAGCCAAGGTTTCTTTCAGATGCCACATGATGAGAAGCCACTCCTATGTTTAGGGCTATGCTCCACTTAGGAGGAGGATAGGACAACTGTGGTACTTTTTCAGTAGTCCCTGACAATCTCTTTCCTTTGAACAGGACAAGCTGGCCGTGATGGACAGCCAGGTGAAAAAGGTAAGGAATTCCTTGGAGGTAGAAGTGCAGGTACTTTCTGACTTGGTGGGAGTTGGATTTCTAAAAGGGGTGGGAGAAAGATGACAGCAGATTCACCTTCTGGGATCTTGCTGTCTCAGAACTGTAGAGTCAACCATGTAAGCATGGAACTGAGACATATAATGGAGCAGACTGTGAACTTGTGAGAGAGTTCTTCTCACTACAGAACTCTTCTGTCATTGATGTTCCCCTCCCAGACACTGCTGCTGGAAATGGCCAGGTGGCTGTGAGGATGCAATGGGTAGAAAGTGCTGCAGCACAGCTGGTGGCCAAGCTTGAATGGATTGGTAGATTGTAAGTCAGTGACTTCTGTCTTGTTAATGATTATTATATCTGTAGGTGAACCAGGTCTTATGGGAATGCCAGGTGTCCGAGGCCCTCCAGGACCCTCTGGAGATGCAGGAGAGCCAGGTAAAACATACAGAGAACAAAAATGCTTTTAGCTCAGTCAGGAGCACAGATGTCTTTGTCAACAATTTCCAGTCTTAATTTGAATTTAAGGCTGGCAGAGGATCTCTGTACTGTAAGATGGTGATGAAAGGAAAATACATGGGAATCTAGACCCTTCATGATCCCAGGATTATACACACTGCAAACATCAGCTGCTAAGAGCCAACCTTCAATTTACATACCAGTTGCTTGGCCAGTTTGCAGCACTTGTGAATTGTGTGCTATAATTTCATGTAAATGAAATCTTTTTGTCCCTGTCTGTCTTTTTCACACTTGAAATTTGATTAGACACCTTAGAATTTTTGCCTTTTTCTGACAGGTCTCACAGGACCCCAAGGACCACCAGGTAGGCTTTTCCACTGTATTCCAATTTATCAATATTTATCCATATCGTTTGGATATGGGCTCAGAAAACTCTTGTAGTTTTCCCTCTGGACTGCTCAGGGCTTCCAAAGTGATATCTCAAGGTTTCTGTATCTCCTTTGTCCTTTGAGAAGGGTTTTGTGGTTGGTGTATAGATTTTGAGCAATGCAGAGCCTTGGAGTGTTGAAAATTTGCCTCCCCCAAAACATAATTTTCGACGAATAACACGTTCCCTGTGCATCACTGAAAGGTCCTTTTAATTAGCTGCAGAAACAGAAGGGAGAGTATGTAGCAAGAGAGGTGAAAACAGGGGGTGTGACATCTGTAAGCAGTGGTGGTCTGGGAGGCAGTTCACCAGGGAATTTATCCAGGAGCATCAGGACAGGTAGCAGTACCTGAAAGAAGCTACAGGTAAATCTAGGGAGCAGTGTCATCATCTAGGGAGCAGTGGGAGCAGGGAAGCCCAGGGACACTACCACCTCAATCTGTTCCTCCACATACTGTCAGCAACATGCTCATAATGCTGAAAGCCAAGGTATGGAATAGGGAGCTCCTATAAACCCACAGGTGAAACTCAACTGGGGCACCTGGAAGAAGTACAGCAAACAATATTTGTACTAACCATTTTAAATTGTTTGTCTATCTCATATCAGGACTTCCAGGCAACCCAGGCCGACCAGGGCCTAAAGGTGAGTTTTGTTTCTTCTCTAATGCTCCTTTTCACTTATTTTAGCGAGCATTAGCTGCTCTGCTGACCAGTGCCTGGATCAACAGTGGCATCTAGTGGCTTTGGGAAGGGGAGGTTTGAGAAACACGGTAGCCATAGCTTCCTTGAGCATACAGGAAAGGCAGGGAGGGCTTCTGCTGAGGGTTGAGTCATGACAACTCTTCACTGAGAAAACCTTAGCACGCCTGGTTCTGCCCTGAGCCTGTGAGTGTGATGCCTGGTGGCTGCAAGGGAAGCTGTGTGCCTGCCTCAGATAAATCAAGGCCTATTGCTTATGCTGGCAGATGTCGTGCTTGCAAAGCTGATCAGAGGATATCTCTGGATTAGCTGAGCTCTCTTACTTCCCCCATGACCTTCTAGTGCTATGACTTCTCAGGCAAGAGATCAGGGGCAAAGAGAACAGAAATTACATGTTTAATAACATAATGTCATTGAGCTAGTTATAGATCTTCCCCCAAAAAGAAGCTCATCTTTTGTCTCTTTGTTTTCCTAGGAGAACCTGGAGCTCCAGGAAAAGTCATAAATGCTGGTACGTAGTGCTGTGTGAGTTCAAACACTTCTGCTTTTGGAGATTTTTTCTGGTTTTTGTTATGCATCCTCAGTTCCTCTCATCCGTGGGTCAGACTTGTACTGAGGCTCCCTGTGTTGGGAAAATACACCTGTGATAGATGTGGGATTCCTTAAGCATAGATTTGTTACACATTCACAGGATGTGTGCAGATAACTGTATGTGTGCAAATGTATGTGTTTGTTTTTCAGAGGGCTCATCAACTATTACCCTGCCAGGCCCACCAGGTCCCCCAGGCCCACCTGGCCCCACTGGACCTCCAGGTGTTCCAGGTGAGGAAGCTGCTCCCCTGCTGTGGATTTTGCAGGGCAGCTTACATTGCTGTGCATCCAGTTCTTATTTTAATGTATAACGTTCATGGTCTCTGCTAGACTGCCCTGTCTGGGAGGCAAGATGGCTCATGGTCAACACCCTTCCCTGCAGAAGGACCAGGGTCAGGCTGAGTTAGGAAGGCAGCAGCCTCAAGGGAGAAATGGAATAAGATCACAGGGAAGAAGGACAGCAGGGAGAGACAAGAAGATGAAAAAACTGGGCACACTGTTGTTATCCTTTGATCTGATGAGTACAAAGTAGTGATATGTCAAATCCAGTGAGTAGAATCCAGCTCTTTTGCTGCTCAGGAAAGCAGGCTTGTGTCTGATCCCTTTCCTGGCACTTTTACTGAAATCAGGAAGTGCTTGTTTTCCAGTCTTAGCTTTCAACTCAAGACAGCAGAATTCCCTCATGAGCATCTGGAAATCTTTCAGACACAGACACACACATACTCTGGCCATGCATGAGCTCAGTCCTCAGGTTCCTCTGTCCCTGGTCAGACACTGCCCTCCACGTGCTGGTGTCAGGAAGCAGAGTTTCTTAGCCCTGGTTCTCAGGGCACTTCTGTGCCTCTTCAGCTCTATAGCTGGAGCTAATCCTGGTTTGGTAGAGCCAGTCTCAGTTTGCAGCAGGGAATGCAAGAGGTTGCCTGTTGCATTTCTGTTGTGGTCAGTGGCATTCTGCTTATTTCCCCAGTCTGAGAGGCACCAAGCACTTTAACTGCCAAATGATGGAAAATAAGCGTCTTCTCCAGAGCTTCAAGTAATACATGGAACATTGATTCATTCATACCCCATAGCAATTTCATTTAGTTGTATAGAAAAGTACATTATTTGATAGTCTTAGTTCTTATAAAAGGGTATTGATTCTTTCCTGCTACTGTAAAATACAACCAGGAAAACCTAACGAAACCTATTGTTTTTTTCCTTGGAAACCAGGTCCTGCTGGCCCAGCTGGTCTCCCTGGACAGCAAGGTATCATTGTCCATTAGCTTTGATTATGCTTCTTAAGAGAACGGAATTCATTACTTTTCCTTTGTTTCTGATTCTCTCAGCCCTTGGCACATTCCTTCTCCCTTTTGTTTGCAGATTTCTTCCTTTCAGTTCATTTTTCTGCGTTATTTGACTTAATTAATCTTGTGAAGAATTTCTATTGTTTTTTGTTTTCCCAGGGGAAGAAGGAGGGGGGTAAGAGGGTGGTAAGAGCCAGAGTATTGTGGATGCTGCAAATGTCTGTTTTTCCTTATGTTATTTTTTCCAAGGACTGGTATTTCTAAGGCACTTTTCAAGTGCAGTTGCCTCTCTGTGATAGGGGATATAGCCCAGCTGGATACCTCCTGCCATTTTGAAAGGCAGGAAAACAAACTAGAGCCCAATTGGGAATAATGTCACTGTGAAACCACTGCCAGTTGGATAGACATCTGTTTGGAAGGGCCTGAACAGAGCTGACCCCTTAGAACCTCTCTTAGCTGGTTTTCTATGATTCTGTTAGAGCAAATTCTGCAGTAATTTCCACATTGGAATGCAGTATCCCTCAGAGCTGGGGACTGCTCCCACTTCATATAAGAAAAGTCTGAACCCATTGTCAGGGAGGTGAGGAGTGGGTACAAAATATCACCATCTCTCAGTTACATAATTCACTTTCTGATTTTCTTTTTCTTTTCCTGAAAAAGGTCCACGGGGTGAGAAGGGATCCCCAGGTGAAGCTGTGGTAGAAACTATCAAAACAGAAGTCTCGTCATTAGCATCTCAAAGTAAGTGGCTCTGCCTTTCCAATCCTTTACTTGGAGACATGTCAGAGCCTGAAGGCCTGCTCTCAGCTACCAGGAGATGCCTCTACCTCTTTCCCCTCAACATGACACAGGGCAAGTGTGTGTCTATGCTTGGTGGTGGGACTGCCTCTTCTGCCCTCTTCTCATCTGTGCATCCCAAAGTCATTTCAGAAGGAGGTAGATGGCACCAGGCCCATGTCACAGAGAGGGAAGCTGAGGAATGGTGACTGGTGGACAGCTGCTAACAGCAAAGATGGTCACAGAGCTGAAAGGTTTCAGCCTGGCCTTTCAGCCACTGTGTTCACACAGGGCAGTTCCCTGTGCAATATGAATGTGAAGCCATCTGCAAGAGGAGAACCAGTTTGAAAAGGCACGTTAATCTGAGCAACAGAAATAATCTCTCTGCAAATTAGAGGATGAATTCACAGGGGAGCAAATGCTATTTTAAGATGAAAATAAGTGGAGCAGAACAGAATGGTTTAGCAACATCCCAAGAAGATTACTTGTTCTGTGCAATACTAGACGTGTGATGTGCTTTCAGTCAGTGTTCCTAGGGTCTGGGACCTCTGCAAATGTGCAGCAGAGGCAAGGTAGAAGAGGGCATACAATTATAAGTGATCCTTGCATGATCACCATCTGAACAGGGCCATATGGAATCAGACCATACTGCAGTACTGTCCCATTCCCCATTCAGGAGTCTTGGATCTCAGCATCACTAAACTTTGAGTCTGTGCCTTAACTGGGAGGTGAGGGTACATCTCACAGTACAATCAAGATAACACAGTGCAGCTATTTGTTAAATGATGTCTGCGTTATGTTCTCCTCCCGAAACTTGCCTCTCTTTTAAATAGTCTTTCTTCTCCTTGAAAGTTCTTTCCCTCCTTCTCTGTCCTTTGAGTCCTTTGCTATTTCCCTCAGCAACCATTACTTTCCTCCCTGTGTCCAATATGCTGCCAGCCTGCTCAGCACTCTGTTTTGCTTCATATCCTAACGTGCAGGCTGGCAACCAAACACATATGTCCTCTGTCTTCTCTTCCTCAGCTTTGGCTTAGGTCACCCAGGTCCTGCCTTAGTCCACCTTTGATTGTAAGAACTTCTAACAGCAATCTATCAATAGAGTTTCCATAGCAGCAGTAGCTCCATAGCAACCATTTTCCCTTGTTTGTGTGTGTTTCTTTTGCACAGTGCTGGGAGATTTACAAGGGCGAGCAGGACCACCAGGTCCCCCTGGACCACCAGGTAGGTAATACAGCAGAGCTCAGTACTTAAGCAGGGGGATGCTCATACACGTGGCACATTTCTGGGCCATGCAGTTTGCTGAGTAAATATTCTATAATACCTCTGTTTCTTTTGTCATCAGGTGAATCTGTGCAGGGACTTCCTGGACCTCGTGGTCCACCAGGTAAGAGCTTGTTCCTCTGAAATAAAACAGAAAAGTGGGAGGTTTTTCCAGTGCCTCTATTCTGTGCCTTTCAGTATCCCAGATCTTGTACCTGGTGGAATTTAGTAGGCCTGACTTTACTGGAAGCAATATGTCCCATAGTGGGTTCCTACTAACACAATTTCACTGCAGCAAGATGCCACCCAACAGAGGACATTTGCTTTGGCAGAGGTTTCCAGCCAGATTAGTATTCATAAAAACCATATTTTTTGGAAAGACACCCAAAGTTTTCAAGTTCCCAAAGGAAGTAACTGCAATCAATTCCATATTTATTTCTTACTTTTCCAGCCTTAACTTCCAGCTGTGGACAGATGGGGAGGTTCTTATCGTGAGGAACATATCCCCACTCCCCCTCCTACATAGATTTCCCTTCAACAACCAGAAGAGGGGAGGTGAAGGAGGACATGAGACAGGAGCACAAACCCATTCCTTGCTCTCTGCTCAGTAGGAAGAGGGGGCAGGTCAGGTGTATGAACATTCCCTTTCATTGTAGTGAAGGCCAGCTGCCATAGGCACCCTGTACCACAAAGAAAAGAGTCTCTCTGTCTTTTGTCTGCTACAGTGGCAAATTATAATGAAAATTAACTAAGAGGGATAGATGTGTGTGGAGAAAATGATGATATGAATATCCATTGGGAAATACTTGAGCTAAGGCCGTGGCTGGAGATGTAGCAGCTCTGACATGCATTTACATACATTGCTGACGCTCATCTTTCCTGAAGCCTTTTTGTGTCTCTTTTGCCTAGGATTACCAGGACCTCCAGGCCCACCAGGGAGACCAGGATCTTCCATGTCCACCTCAGGTAGGTTCTTATCACTCATTCCCTCACCTATACCCTGGGAATGTCCTGTTGGGGTTCCAGAAAGCACATACTTGGCTGGGACCAGGTGGAGCCAGAGAAACCTTGTGTCATATTCTGTTGGGTGTCATGTTCTGCTGGATATCATGAAGAAATCTTTTTGTTTTAATTACAGAAGGATTCTTCACGGGCCCACCAGGTCCACCAGGACCACCAGGCCCGAAGGGAGACCAAGGTGGGTATATCCTGCTGCCTCACCAAAGTGCTAGATGGATTTCACCACTTTAGACTGAAAAGAAGGAAGGATGGGCTTGAGCGCAGAAAGCATCCTGCCTTTCTGTGGCTGTAAGAAAGCTTAACACAGGTGTCACCAAGCAGGGACTCCTGTCTGCCATAAAACAAGTCAGTCTTTTTCGGAGAAATTTGTTGGCCTCCAGTACTGGTGGCAAGGCAATCACTGTAATCCCATCCCAACTTTTCAAGCCCATTAGATTCAAGAGCATTCAGAGCTTCAAATTTGCCATTGAAGGGGAACAGTCTTTTTGCAAAATGCGCTGTGGACTGAGTCAGTGGAAGGAGGGGTCCCTGTGAGTTGTAGCTCAGATCTCAGTTGGCAAGAAATCGTGGCACCCACTACCTTTACCCATGTCTCTCCTGCAAATTGAAGGCCAAGATAATACGCTGCAATGTGGGCTGGGATGTTGCAGAGGAGAGTAAAGCAACCAATAACACTGTTCCTCTGCTCCCCCGTTTACAGGCGAACGAGGTCCACGAGGACTCACGGGTAAGGAGGTTTCCAGAAGGTGTCAGTGGGGTTCAGGGTAGGTTGCCTGTGTATATAACTGCTCCTCCATTTTTGTGTCCCACACAGGAGAACCGGGTGAACCTGGCCTTTCCGCATTCTCCTCCCATGGTTAGTCTGTGCCCCCTATCCCCTTTTGAATTCATTGCCCCTAGGCTGAAACCAGGGGCAAAATTCTGCTCTGTTGGTTTTAGCTTGGTTTTAGTGGAGCCAGGATTTTGTCCGCTTTATTCCTGTGAATCTCTGACTCTCCTTCTGCAATTTCCAGGTGAAAGAGTCACCATACAGGGTCCCCCAGGCCCACCAGGCCCACCTGGACCAAAAGGTGATGTTTAAAATCTTCTTTCTTTCTTTCTTTGCTTATGGCCTCACACAGCAAGCAAGGTTGAGACCTTGACAGAACTTGGTCCTTTGGTAACTACAGCTGTGCTCTCCCTGCCTTTTCAGGCAGAGCAGGATTATGGCAATAGAATTGCTCTGAGCACAAGGCACTTGAGCAGGTCACAGAAGGCTCAGGAAAGCTGCTGTAGCCTCTTCCTTATTCCCAACAAGCTGTTAATTCAAGACAGTCATTACAAGGACTGGGTAGTTGCTTCTCGGACAACATTTAGCTCAACTGTTTTACATGACCAAGCTATGTAACATGCAGTGACCCCCATTACAACTGTCTGTCTCCCTTCCCTCACTGTTTTCCAGGTGATGCAGGTGTCCCAGGTGCTCCCGGCATCCCAGGAGCATCTCGAGGTAAGAGGCCAGATGGTGGTTAATATTAACAAGGCTCTGATATTAACAAGGAATGCTGACATTCCGGTGGAGACTTTGAAAAAGCTCCTTTGACTTTTACCAGTGAGGTTGCCAATATAATGCTGATGAGATTTCTGTCCAAAACCTCTTTTTGCACAGCTTTCCTTTAATCATAAAATTTAAAAATTGTTAGTTTTCTTTTTTCCAGCTTACTGGGAATCCTTTGAGCCAGAGTTTTTCCTCTGTGTGAGTAGGTTTTTGAACTGGTGCTGCCCAGGCTGACTGGGATTGGGAGCAGCGGGGCAGTGAGGTTAGACTAATGAGCTTGAGTGCTTTATAATCTCCATCTGTATTCTGCACAGCATTGCACTGTGGTGCACAAACTGACCAGTTCTGCCCATTCAAAGTTCTCTGGACTCAGCCCTGCAGAGCTGCATGGGCTGAGTTACAAGATGCTGGAATAATTGAAGACATTATACTTCCAAATAGCCCATGCACAGACTGTGTTTAGAGATGGAGGGGGAGCCCCTCCCTAGTCCATTTCCAAAGGTCTTTCCAGACACGTTGGAAGGGCTTGATGCAAATACGCTTTAGCATCACTTGGTCTAATGCAACCATGCCAAAACCATTCCTTCTCCTTACAATGCTTTCTGTAGGTGGATCCAGGCAAATTCAGGGGCCCCCAGGACCTCCTGGGCCACCCGGTCCTCCTGGCCCAGGTGGAAGTTCATCTCAAGAGATTCAGCAGTATGTCACTGACTACCTGAAGAGTGAGTATAACGAGATTTTTGCTGTGGGTCAGCAATGCATGCCTATCACTCTTTTGCTCCCTGAGCCCTTGTTCCCCCTTTAGAAACAGCAGCCCTATTACTCTGGACTTAATTCTGTTGAATACTGTGAAGTGCTGTTGCCCACTGTGACCTCTGCAGAACTGTCCTTCTGTTTTCCTGTTCTTTGCCAGGTCTGGTAATTGTGCAAATCGTCAGTCTTCCCTCTTACTGATGTGGGCATATCTTGGGCTTCCTACCTAGGTGACAACGTAAGACATTATTTGACTGGTGCCCAGGGCCCACCAGGCCCTCCGGGCCCACCTGGAGTTATCACCACTGCAGATGGGATGACCCTGGATTATGCAGAGCTGGCTACCCGTATTATGAGCTATATGACAAGTAAGCACCGTGTTGGTAAGCTCTGTACTGAGCCAGACTCTCAGCTAAGCTTGTACAGCACCTGGGAGGTGAGAACCAGAGGAGAAGCAACAGTCTTTAAATAGCAGCATCTCAACCATACTCATCTTCAGCAGTCTTGGCCCAGGATTCCACAGAGTTGAGGTGCCCTTTCAGCCTGGTCCTATTTTAATGGTTAGATTAACTAGCAGTTGCTGCTGTTTAAAATGTCTCACAGTAAACATTTGCTGTTAGACCCTTTAACACCCCAAGACCCAAACAGAGGTGCCTTTATTTTGTATATGCAGTCCCAAGTATTCTGGGGTTGTCTTGTAGGCTTGGGGCCCTGCTAAAGTAAATGAAATTCCCAGAGCTTTTGGAAGTAGCCTGGAAACTCTGTCAGAGAAGCACAGACCACACAGCTGTGTAGACAACCAGGATGTATGAGATAGCAACTGATTCATAGTTGGGGGCATGAGAAGCCCATTCTACCAGTTAAACTGGATTAATTCAGCTTTCCTTTGTCCCCTCCTGACCCCTCTTCAACTTCTGTCTCATCCTGATGTAAAACCTTTTCATTCCGACAGGCTCTTCAGGTCGCTATGAGTCATTTGCCAGCTCAGCATCAACTACATCCATTTTGTACCAAGAACTTCTGGACCTGCTGCAGCGTAAGTGACCCTCAAGGGAATGTGAGACTAGGGGTAAAGCATCCCATCATCCTAGAGATCTGTCTTTCCCTTCCAGTCTCCTGCCTCCAGCTGGCGTTACCTGCACCTGCTTCAGAGGGCAAAGGGCTGCCATAGGTGCTGCTGAGTGACCTGTGAAGTCTCCTTCCATGTTCTTTTGAGACAGATTCATGTGTCTTGTACTGGAGAGTTCACCTGCTTTTCAGAAGTTTCCTTACCTTTGTTACCCTTTTGCTTTTCGTACCCACAGTTAGAACTCTCTTACTCTCTCCCCTCCATTCCCCTCCTTGTCTAAGTGGCATCTGCCTGTGTCCTTCCTTTTCAGGAATTCCCACAATTTTCCCCAGTCTCCCTCCCACTAAACCTTGTTCACCCACTGAATCTTTCCAGCTCCCCCACTCTCTTAGGGTTCCCCTCATTCCTTTTGCCCACCCCAAAGTCTTGCTATGTTATTGTCCTTAAGGTAAGGGAGATCCCCAGCTCTGTTCTTTTCTATACACTGTTACTGTGGAGTGATAGATAATCCTCCAGGATGTCATTTTGCTGTGCCTGAGGTCATTGATGATGCTGGCCAGCCCTGAGCTCCAAATGGCTACTGGAATGCCACACACCTCAGCATGGTCTTTTCCCAACTGAGCTGCTTTTTATTCCTTTTACCCAAGATGTCGTCCAAGGTGTCCCAAAGAAATAGAGCACAAAGCAGTCCCTTTAGCAATCCAAATTCTCATCTGCCTCAAACCCTTGTAGTAGGAGATTCCCAGCTCTGCCACAAATGTTTCTGGCACCACACACAGGACAGTTCACGCTCAGAAAAGACTGGGGGAAAGAGCTTTGCATCCACAGGTTTTGATGCTCTCCTCAGGGGTGGGGGCTCAGCTCACGGGCTGGGAATTCCTCACACCTGGTGTCTGTGCAGCAGCTGGATGGCCTTAAAAGGTGCATTTTTTCATTTCTAGGAGAAGAAATTCGTCAGTATCTCATTGGACCTCGGGGCCCACCAGGACCTCCTGGACCAGGGGGAGATGGCACATCTCTGTCACTGGATTATGATGAGCTGACCAGGCGGTTTATCAGCTATTTGACAAGTAATGGTCTTTATTAGTGTGTGTTTCCCTCTGTTCCTTTGGGTGCTCAGCAGAAAGCTCCTGCTGTCAGTCACTGAAAACAATTCCAGTGTTGACTGTGTGAATCCCTATGTACTGAGACCTCCTCACAGGGACTGTGAGAGACTTGGAAGAGAGCAAAGGTACCCTGTAGCTAAGATACTACCCACAGTCTCTAAGAATGAGTGCTTACGTTGTTAAAAGTTGAGCTTAGGAACATAATTTCACCTTAGCCATCTTAGAAGTACCATTGACAGCTTTAAGTACCTTTTATAACCCATTTCTTACTGGCTCTGTGGCCAGGATATATCTCCCTGTGAAAGAGGTCTGTGCTCACTCAGCCTGCACAGGCAACAGATTCTTAGAAGTTTAAAGTTAATCAAAACAAATTCCGTGTCTCTGCTTCATTTTCCCTTCTGTAGTAGGGTGATATAGTATGTAAGAACTGTTGGACAGAGAGGACCTGGAGCATCCCCAGCAGCAGGGCTGAAAAGCCTAATCCTTGTAGCTCCAACTATCTGCTTGGGAGCACAGCCTGGTCTATGCCCAGTCTCTCTGAACTGCCCTTGGAGACCAGGTCTCACTAGTGGACTGCTCCTAAGATGGAGGGAATTTCCTATTTGGGTCTGGAAGCAGGAAACTGCAGTTTAATGGCAGTTTACAGCTCAAGCAGGACAGCTGCATTTTGTCAGCACAGACATTTCATTAAAGCAAATCACAAAGTGCAGAGTGTTGCCCCAGAGCTGCAGACACAGGGAGAGCAGCACATGCATCAGCCTGCAGTCTGAGAGTGCCCCCGCCATGTCATGGGTTCATGGGGTGCAGAGCTTTTGCCAAGAATAGAGGCCTGATCCCTGCCTGTCTGCAGGTGTCCTTGTGTTGGGGTTGATGGGCAAGCTCTAACTCCAAGTCCAGAACAAGGCTTGATCTCTGGTTCCCAGCACAACCTGCTGATGAGAACACTCCATGCTGCAGGAGTCCCTCCTGCATTGCCTGTGAACAAGCCCTGCAGCCTGTCTGCTCATACTGTTCTGATAACATGGGTCTGTTTGATTTTGCAGGTTCTGGTATGAGCATTGGACTTCCTGGACCACCTGGGCCTCCAGGGACTCCTGGTATATCCTACAGTGACCTCACAGCATACCTGAGAAGTAAGTGAACTTCTTTGCTCCCCTGCTGTGGGTGCCCACACAGCCCTGAGATCTTTTTTTACAACCTTAATCACAGAATTTCCCCTTTTGCCCATCATGACAAATATAATCCTGTATGAATAAACTCTGATGGCCCCTTGTCCTTAGCAGGACTGCAGACCTCTGGGCTATGCCAGGACCTGCACACACCACAAGGGGCTGCAGCTGGATCATTGTTCTCCTGTAGGGAGCAGCAGAGATGATATTTTAGGAATGGGCATGGAGGAGCCCTTTGTTGTATCCATACTCTGCAGCATAAAGGTGTAATTTCTTCTGTCACTCTTTAAAAGTATATTTAAAAAACAGGGACTTCTACTCTCTCTGGAATCTCCTGACTTTCCAATGTGATGTCTACACACAGGGAAGTGAGGTGCCCCAGGAAGGCTGCACCAGAAGGTGCTGGGGAGAAAAAAGTACCTTATACTTGGCTGTATCTGGCATTACCTGTATTGTCAGGGAACATTCATCAGGGTTGTGGTTGTTTGGGTGACTTCTTTTCTTATCTTGTGTCTTACAGACTCCGAATTCAGTGGATTTGTTGGGCCCCCTGGTCCTGCAGGGCCCCCAGGACCTCCAGGGATCCCTGGAACACCAGGCACCACTTTGGAGGATGTCTCTGCCTACCTACAAAGTAAAGCACTTGTGTTTCTCACAGAGATTCTGTTTGTAGGTGGTGGGGGAGCTGAGGCCGAGATTTAGCTTATGAGGGGTGAGACTACTCACTGATAACAAGGTCACTTTAAAGAAAAAAATCTCATCGTTATCATCTGTAAAGGAATGGAAATTGGGGTTGGAAACATTCAAGATCCCCAGACGTGATTTCCTTGTCTTCTTACTGATGCAAAATAATTCTTTCTCTCTCTCAAGATGTGGGATACTCTTCCCTTTCTGGAGTCCGGGGCCCACCTGGTCCTCCTGGCCCTCCAGGACCCCCAGGCTTCTCAGGAACTGGCCTTTTGTCCTATGCTGACATCACCCACAGCGATGAGTTCAGGAGTGAGCTGATCCAGTACCTGAAGAGTAAGGAGACACCATCCATCCTTCCTGCACACATTCCAAGCCATGCTTTGCCCCGTGTAGGTGCTCTCTGCCACAGCTGAGGCATTCCTGTAGGAGTCTTCCCTGAACTGGGGCTGCAGAAACACCTTACCTCTACAGCCAGGTCTATGTTGTGCTGCATCCTGCAGGGTTGTCTCCTCTCAGTCCAACTGCCCGTCCAAGGTCCATGTTGTGACACAACAGGGACAGGCACTGGGCACTTAAAATTGGCCTGTGCTGAATAGCGAGTCCCCAGTAAGGACACTGGCAGAGTTTTGCCATGGGAAAAGCATTTTCTTTGGCAAGCACCTGCCCCCAGAGCAATGGATGATTCAGGGGTTGGAAGGCAGCACTGAGGCAGCTGTGAAGCAGCTTTGGTCTGAGCTCATCCTGCCAAGTCATCCAGGGCAGTCTTTCAAAAACACGAGGCTCTCCTCACTTTTGGGAGACTGGTCACAGAATGGCTGTTTTGTCAGAGGTGCTGAAATTAGCTCGAGAGGAGTGCACCCTTCTGCAAAGTTAGTGGGCATGTTCCCAAGACTGGGCACACAAAACTGTGGGAAGGAGGAGGGTGCCACCTGTAGAGATCAAAATTGAAATACTTGCCTGCTGCCTGAGAAGTGGCACTGGATGAGGGTTGGTGGGAAAAAATTTCACTCAGGTGGTAGCACAGGACCTCTGCCAAGCCCAGTGTCCCTGAAGTTCTCCCCTTGTATTTTGCAGGTGATGAAGTTCGAAGCTACATCTCAGGGCCGCCTGGGCCCCCTGGGCCACGGGGACCACCAGGACCCAAAGGAGACAGTGGTTTCATGGCTGGGTCTATGTCTTCATCCTACCAAGGGTTACGAACTTCTGAGCGCTCACATGGAGGATCCCTTGGTGCTGAGGGCTCCCATGGGGGGTCGCTGGGCTCAAGCAGCCCATATGGCAGCTCCATGAGCAGGATGTCCTCTTACCACTCCTCAGCGGGCAGCGATGGCACTTACGGTGCCTCCATGGGTGGTGATGGGACTTACGATGGGTTGCTGACGGAGGAGGAATCCCACAGCAGATCAGCGGGTTCAAGCAGATCCTATAGCAATTCCTTCTCTGGTTCCCTGGATTACAACGAGCTGGCACTCCGTGTGTCAGAGAGCCTACAGAGTGAGTGAAAAGCCTGCTTGTCCTGACCCTCCCTGTCCCAGACTACAACTCCTAACCCCCTGTGCCTGCTGTCACGCTGGTCACTTCCCTCCCCTTCCTGCTGCCTACCACTCTCCCTTACACCTTCCTGCCTCAGCATCCAGCCACAGTTCTCCTAGAGCTCCTTTCAAATGACATCTTTAATTCCTCAGGCCGAGGTATTCTTCAGGACCTGATGTCTTACACCGCACAAGGACCCGCAGGTCCCCCAGGCCCTCCTGGTCCCCCTGGCATCAGCAAGGTCTTTGCAGCCTATGGCAATGTCACTGAGGACCTCATGGACTTCTTTAGAAGTAAGTGACGCTGACTTGCCATTTCTGGCTCATGCATATGAGATCTCCCCAGACTCTCACAGACCTAATGAATCTTTTCACCTTTGCACGTTGCAAAAGCCAAGGTACACCACTGGAGGTGGATGGTCTTTCCATCTCCTTCCTCCCTTGCTGGGGAGGTGCAGTCTTATCATTAGGAAGGACATCAGTTTTTCCCACTGTTTGTGAAAAACTCATCCCAAACCCTGAAGGTCTCCAGGCTTGCAATCTGTGTGGCCCATTTTAACATGGCTGGGCTGGCACATGTACAAATACATGAGTCAACTGCTCACTCTGCTCTCAGATTCCTTGCCCTGAGCACAGGCCAGCTCCAGCCCTGGTGACAGCCAGGACACCCAGAGAAGGTGGCAGAGCAGGGCTGGTGAAATGCCATCACAGCCTATCCCTGGAACTTTGCTGGGACCAAAACCATTTGTGAAAAACTTTCTCTATCAGTCTCATCCCATTTAACTGAGATAAATGACCTTCCAGGGTGACCCGCTGCTTCTCTGAGTAAGCACAGTGGTTTGTCCCTCTCATTCATCCTCTTCTTTATTTCCCTCTGCAGCTTATGGTGCCATCCAGGGGCCACCTGGTGAAAAGGGAGAGAGGGGTTATCCTGGACCCAAAGGTAAGGCTTGCCATCCTTTCCCTCTTTAGCCCTGTGAGGCCCAGGAAGCAGCACTGTGACCACAGCACTGCTCAAGGTCACACCTTCCTACAGTGAAGGTGGCACCTTCAGGATCTCAGCCAAAATGTTGTCCTGCCTTGGCCTCCCTTACCTTGGTCTGTCCCTGTCCATGAGCCACTTGTGCTCAAGGGAAAACTTGGTTTTCTCATCCCTTTAGGTGACCCTGGACCAATGGGCCCACCAGGACGACAAGGGCACAGGGGACCGAAAGGAGAGAAGGGAGAGAAAGGTATGAACACCTGCCATCCCCAGGAGAGCAGGGTTTGCCTGTCAGGGAGTGAAGGATTCCCCAGGCACCAGCCCATCACTGGGAATGGCTGGAAAACACTCTTTTGGATCTTTTGTCTTCCTACATGAATTTTTCAAATAACTCCTTTTTACTTTATTGTCTCTAGGTGAACAAGTGTATGTTGGCAGAAGAAAAAGAAGAAATGTTGGGGTTTAAGGAAAGAGGCAGCTCAGTTCTGCACAGGGCAGCAATCCCAGCAGCCTGTAGAGAATTAGCCTGACTCTTCACTGCCTTAATGCTAAACAGTCCTTTGCCACTCAGCTGACCCCTTAGACTTGATAGTTCAGTGTTGCTGCAGAGATCTGAATGTCTCCTGTACGTGTCCAGCATGGCCCCAGTGTGGGTGTTTGCTCCTGTTACTGATGTTTGCCTGCCTGACCCTGAGCTCCCAGGCTAAGGGCTTCCTGTCTCACCTAGTCCAGGCTTCCTGTATTGCTCCCAGCTATGTAAAAACCTGGTTTTTTTTTAACAAGTAGCCAACTATCCAGCAAAAAAAAAAAAAAGAAAGCAATTCCACCCCCACCAAATGCTGTGCTTTGTCAGGGATCAGATGCAGGATCAGCCCACAGGATACAAGACCCTGCAAGATACCGTGGGACTGAGCTTGCACCGCACTGGGATTCCCTCTCCACAAACCCTGCTGGCCCTAAGTGTGAGGCAGCAGCACAGCAAGACAGGACATGCACAGGGACCAAACAGAAGCACTTTTAAAAGTAATTTGTTTATCTTTTTAAAAATATTTTTGTATTTTTTCTGGTTTTCTAAACACTGGGGAAACATAATTTTAATGTAAACAGCCCAATTAAAGTGTGTTTTTAAGCCAATCCCTGAACTACTCAGGACCACCTTTCTGTGCTTGCAGGTTGTGTTGTGGGGCAGGGTGAGGCACCTGAGAGGGGTCTGAGGTACAGCAGTAAAATACAATGGCACAATGTTAAATACTTTTTACGCTCAGTTATTGTAAAAATTCTGAATTGTCCCCTTCACTCCAACATCACTTGTATTTCATGCAAGTTTTCCATCAACAAAACAGAGACAATCTCAGCAAACTGTGATTTTTTTATTGTATTTACAGCAAAATTATTACAATATTCTACAGAAAGCCATGAAATCAATTACTTTTAAAAACAAGACCAAAAAAAAAAAAACAAACCAAAATCATTGTATGGCTGCTACTGCAAGTTCACTTCCATGAGCTGTACAGAAACCCCTAGCCAATTATTCATCCATCTCATGATTTTTGGTTGCTTTCTGTAAGGCAAAAGTAACTTGTTTTGCAGTTAACACAAAACATTCAATGAACTGCTGGGAGAACACGAGGCCGGCGGTGCCTCAGTGGATGTGCTTTGTCACAGGACTGTGACAGGACTCCCGCTCTGCTTGGCTTGCTGACAGAACATGTGGGTGACAGCTCAATGTCAGATTTGACTCCATGTCCCTTTCTAGTTTCTGTTCTTTCCACCATTTTAGGACTGATACTGTAAAAGAGGCCTTACCACTTAGTTTGGTAATTGGGGAAGAGATTTTGGAAAATCAGAGTAACTTTGGGCTCGGCCACTCCCTTTTGCTTTTGGTACAATGGAAGCACATGAGCCTTTAGTGATGAGTTGGGTCAGAGCGTGTTTGTATTCAAGGGGTTGTTCTTCTCTGGCACCACTGACTGCCCCAATGCCAGATGTGCAAAGGAGCTACAGAAATGAAGCACAAGAATTGAGGTGGGAGAAAGGGGGCAGAAAACAACTAAAAGTTCTGTAAAAGAGAAACACTGTAGAATTTTCTTTTGTCTTCTCCCCTTTATCTGTTCTCATCTTTGGAAGACTGAGAAACAACAGGGCATCCTGGCCTTGGCTTGCCTGTGAACAAGGAAGGTTATTTCTCTCTGACCTTATTTCAACTGCTGTGAAGATGGCAGAAGTAGTCTGAAAATGGGAAATGTGCACGGACACATCAACGCAAGGAAGTTTCTGAGACCAAGAAGTACAGGTTTTGACACAAAATGACAAGAATATAAATGTTAACATAGAAGGCAGAGAACTTATGTACACAGTGACTGTCCTAAACACTCCTCCCTCCCCCTTCCTCCAACAACCAGAGTCACTGTCCTGAAAAACTTGCCCCACTTCCCCAGCTGAACCAAGAAACAGGAGTTCAGTGGAAGCAGCCAGCACTGAGCTTATTTGCACATTTCAGTTTCCAGCAAGATCAGTGTTTGAGGTCCTGGGAGCTGCAGCTGCACAGCAGCTCTGAAAATCAGGCTGCCTAAAAGTGGACTTAAGTGCCTGAATTTAAAACACCTTATTCAAGTCTTTCCTATACCAAAGCATCCTTGAAATTCTTGCAAGACAGATACTGTTTCAGCTGGAGAACCAACTTAAACTTCCAGCGTGATTTTGCTGTCACAAAAGACATGGCGTGATGAAAGAAATTTCTTTGCTGCTTTGTTTGGCTGCATCTTAGTTAAGGTGCTACATTTCTTATTTATTAAGAAAAATAATTCAGTAGCATGGAGTTGTCATAAAGTCCTCTGGGACAGAAGAATAATTTTTTAAACTGTGTGATTGATTAGATATTGAATACCCATGAAAGTAATTTTAAAAGGGTATTAGCTGAAAAGATTATCTGGAAAAAAGGATGCAGCTCAACTGGATTTAACAGTATTTTAACTGATGTGAAAAATCACTGTGAGTGAATGCCAGCAGTCAGGACAGCAGCCCTGCCACCTTGGAATTGGAATTCAGGTGTCAATTCAAATAAAGGTTTTCCTTCAGAAGGCATTTATAAATCAGGATCCATCTACTCAATCATAAGGATAACAACCTCAATATCATATCTTTACATACCATACACACTTCTTGTGCATTCAGCAGAGACAGCAGAGCACTTGGAGAAGGAAAATTTGTTTTATGGGAATCAGAGAGGATCAAATGTTGGAGTATTTCTCCCTCACTGAAGTAAACTGCAAAGTTCCCCTGGGACACTGGGAGGCCAAGGCCTGAGCCAGACCATTCCCCCCAGGACTGGTAACCTCTCCTCAGCCAGCCCCACTCAGGAGAGATGTAGAGTCTCCAAAAATCAGGGGCACAGGAGCCCCCAGAGAGCTCCCCGGGCTACCGGCAGCACTGCGTTAGTCGAGGACTGGAGAGCCTGCACACAGCTGAGTGCCAGGAACTCAGGGCGTGAGCAGAGCCAGGGGCTCGTCCTTACGAGGCCCTTTCCCATAAAAGCTGACTTAGCAGATGCCCAAATCTGCTTTCAGAGCTCAGGAAGCACATGTGAAGTTTGACCCCATCAGAGGCCAGGGGCCTGCAGGCAGGTTTTCTGTGAGGATCAGCTGTAAATACAGGAGGACAACCCATACACTGACTGCAATCCAGGCACTTATTGCCTTGCTCGTTTTCCTGTGGACAGTGTTTATGATGTAGGAAAACACAAAAGGTGAGAAAATACTGATTTGTGGTCAGCTTTGCAAGAGCATGTGGGGACAATAAGATCTGCCAAACACTCAGTAAGAAAGCACATTGTTTTGGCTGTGGAAAACACATCTAACTACCCTGGAGATGGAGCTGCTAACATTCATTAAAGGGAGGTGACATGAGACAGCACAGAGATTGGATTTTGTATCTCAGGAGATCTCTTTTGGGCCTATGTGAGACTAAATTAATTTGAACTGAATTTTCCAACACTGATATAATATTGTAACACCTCTTTCATGTTCTGCAACACTTATATCCAATTTTATCAGTCTAAGTGTATAAGTACCCATGCTAGTTCCTGTTATCACACATAAAATATATTTTCATGCTTGATATCAATTCTCAGCACAGTTCACAAGGCTGCAACTGCTTCACAGTGCTCCCCACTTGAAGAGATGAGCAAGGTTTCCATCACCACATCTGATCTCTCCCTTCATCACACAGCTCAGTTACAGTTATTTGTGCAATTTACAGTGAGATCAGATTGCAGGGGCCTATGTGAAAAGGATCTTCAAATAAAAGATGTAAGAGATTTAGACAGAGGTAAACAAAATGCCAATATACATTAGCAAGTTATCACTGAAACTACCAGAACATAAGGAGAAGATTATTAATGTAGTGTAGTGATAGGACAAGGAGCACTGGGTACAAATTGCAAGAGGGGGAATTTAGGATAGATATTAGGAAGAAATTTTTTACTGTGAGGGTGATGAGGCCCTGGAACAGGTTGCCCAGGGAGGCTGTGGATGCCCCAACCCTGGAAGTGTTCAAGGCCAGGCTGGCCTTGAGCAACCTGGTCTAGTGGAGGTGGGGGAGTTGGGACTAGATGATCTTTAAGGTCCATTCCAACCCCTTAACATTCTGTGATTCTGTGATTTCCCTCTGAGGAAAATCTGCCCGCCCTGCCTACTCCCTGAGTAAAGCACTGAGCCTATGTCATACTAAACTGCAAACAAATTCTGCTAAATAGAAATGAAGATTATTTAATGTTATCTCAGTAACAGTCAATTTATGAAGGTGGAGCTTAAAAAACAGAAGTTCTCAAAGACGTTTTTTCTCCCTAATGAACAAACAATTCAAAGAACTTTGCATTTAGCAACAGAGAACATTCTAGAGATATGGGGTGTGAATTTACAACAGTACACAATACACATTTATAATAATAAAATGCCAGAAATTAAGGCTAGCTATTAAAGTAATTATGCTATCAAAAAGTTACAAAATTTAAATTAAAACATGCATTTTCCAATTAATTTTTTTTCTGTGCTGTAAATTAAGTGTCTTCATTGAGAAGGTTTCGGTTCAACGTCCAAGGATTTCAGCATCCAAGGTTTCGACCACAGCTGATTATAAAGTCCTATGGTTATTTATGAACTCATTGACATGCAGCAACACAGTTCCCATGAAATGAACGTCGTGTGATGGTCACCAGCCACACGTTCAGTGCGAGAGAGCAAAACAAAACGGTTGCAGTTGATGCCCGAAGAGACATGAGAAAGTCAGGCCTCAAACAACAGAAAGCAAACACTATTTTACAAATGGAACTCCAGCATACCCAAGTACAGCCTTAAATACTGTGTCTTGATATGACTCAACCTCTAACCACCAAAAGGAGTGCAGCAAAAATTGATCTAATACAGCTGTATTTCCCTACCCGCTACATGAGAAACATTTCAGATTTTCCACTGCAGATCAGTCAGGTAAATAACTTATTGTACATCTATGAACTTAAAAAATAAAACCTGCCTATGTTAGTAGGTGGCAACACAAAAGCAAAACACCCAGCTTCATAGAGGAGTTTGTCTATATATTTAACTTAAATCTTTCCACAAAATAAAATGACTAAAATTAAAAAAAAATTGAATCTAACACTTCTAATGAAATCAGACTTTAGCCATGATTATTTATAAATATGACCATCCACCTCCACTTTTCCAATGGAGTTTAAATGAACAGGCTTTGGTAAGAACAGAACAATGGCTCTACCCATTCCAGGTACAGTTAGAGAAACCACGTGCATTTTGCACCCTGCTTTCTAAAAAATACATTCTACAGTTTTTCAATTTGTAGAACTAACCACCTGTAATAGCAAAGGAAAATAACAAACTGTGCATTTTAAAGTTAGCATTTCTTTCACCTTTACATATTTTAGTGCAAAATATTTTAGGGTGAGGATTTACAACCAAAATGGCAGTAGCAGCAAGAAATCTTGTTTTGTACAGTAACAACAATGCTAAGGAGTTTTGTTTTTTTAAATGACAAAACATATCCTGTTACCAGGATCAGCATATCTAAGTGTTTCAGGCACTGTATTAATTAAACTAGCACCCCATTTCATTATGGAACTAATGGACAAAACACGTCATGGAGATCAGCTCAGTTTAATTTATGCCAGAGGTTTCTTTTGAAAGATATTACAAAGGCCTTTGCTTTTGCCAATTGTGTTTAAACATAAGGGTTTGTTTCTCTGATTACTGGCATGTTCTTAGCAATTAGTTTCAGTTCTTGCCATGAAGACACTGCTCAACATTATGAAACTTTAAACCTCTCATGGCATTTTCAATTGTGGAATTCTCTCGTGGAGAGATCTGATACTTAAAAACACAGTAGCAGAACTAATATTACATTGTTTAAATATTCACATGAGAAACCATTTTTTCTGTGATGAGAAAGAGCACAACTAATACTTCAGGTTTAAAGTCAAAACCATAGGTAACATACTTTTAGAGACCGAGATAAAAAGCCCACTTAGTCTTGAAACACCTGAAGGACGTAACATTACCATTGTACACCAACACTGGGTTCGTTTCTTCTGCTCAGAGAAGTGAAGAAACTGATGTGACACTGATTGTCTCCACTGAAAACAAAAAGCGCGGGGTCCTTGGATGTACACACGCCGCAGATAAGTCAGGTTAGATGGGTAAGGATGGAGAATTACAAATAGGAAAAAACCTACAGCAGTTCCCAGAGTTATGACCCAGTAGAGTGAAGGCTGGGGATTGGATAGAATTTGGAAATCCGGCTTTGTGTTGAAGGATTAAGGCATTCGGATTCTCCAGTCATTTTAAAGAAAACTTCCTGTTCCTGCAGTTTTCTGGCAAATTCTTCTTCCAGCGTCTAAAACCAAAATCAGATTGTCACAGAATTAACAAGGCAAAGTACAAGAAACCCATTATTGTGGTGATATATTGTCTGATATAATGCTGTAACTTCATAAACATCATCAAGAAAAGCCACTCAGTAAACATGAAATTGTAAGACACCGCAAGCCAAGAACATCATCTGTCTGTAGGACATTCTCTGAACTGTGTGAAAATCTAGCATTTTCCATTTTAAAATAAAATATAAACCCCCCAACCAATCTCCTCTATCTGCTCTTAAGCACTCAATTTTTGGAGTAACCCACTGGCTTCTGAAAGAAATCTGGGTTTAGGAATGCATCTCCAGCTAAGTTTTCCATGCAAACACGCACACATACGCTGCAGGAGGGAGCCCTGCAAGACGCTGGTAACACACAGACTGTTTTGTTGCACCTGCCTTTTGCTCAGGTTTGCATTTTTTAACATCTTTTATTATTCAGTGAATTATAACAGCTTTGTACAGCAGCTTGATTCTCCTCTGCAATGCTTTTGTACTCTCTGTATTTGCTTGATCAAGCCCTTGATTATTTCCTGATTCCAGAACTGCTCCAATTTACCTTTTTTCTCGGTCTCAATTTCTCTCTCCATTCCTTCAGTTCTTGGCTGTGCTCTTCATCCAGCTCTTTTAGTTTCTGAGTCTCATGCTCAACCAGTAGATGGCATTTTTCATTCTTAAAAGAAGATACAGATAATCCTTATGTAAAACTAATTCAGATTAGGCAACTCAACATTTGTACAGTGACATATGTTGTCCTAATTCTTTCTAATTAGCTTATTCTGTGTAAATAGTGACGTGAATAATTACAAGATAAAAGTATGTTACGAGGCTGCATTTTCAAAAGCTGATCTTTCCATCGGAGCCAATTGAGATAAGAAACACTCATAAATCCAGACACTGCTGAGTGCCATTAAGGCAGAAGCTGAGTGTTACTCAGAACTGTGTTTCACTGCCTAATAATGCTTTTCAAGGTCAGACAGCATTTCTGCTTTGCTTTCTAAAGACAGTCTGTACAATTTATTAAAATCAATTACATTAAAGACAAAGTTGTTTTTTGGAAATACTTCAACTCTTGGTGCCAAGAGCTGAGATGAACAAACGGGGTTTAGAGAGGGGAGAAATGTGGTTGCAAAAGCGGCCTAGGAAAAGGATAATCAAACCACACCTCAGCTCCACATTTCTCTCAGTAAGGTACCCCCTTTCAGAGTCCTCCCTTTCAGAGGACTTCTGAAGCATAGCAAGAAAAAAATTAAGTATTTGGTTACATCAAATCTTTCTTTTTTTTAAGAGCAGTTGGCAATGGTTGTATTTCTGGAGTCCCAGTCCCAAATGGCTCTGATGCAGAGCACAGAACCACAGCAACAGAAATGACAAGCACTTGGCTGGACCCGAGTGCAGCAAGGGGCCAGTTTTCCTTGTGAAGCTCAGAGCAGCCCTAATCTGCTCAATTTTCCTTGAGCTGAAACTCTCACAAGACTCCCACGGTACTTGGGGATTTACTGAGGCATATTAGTGGCACAGCCAGGGACTGTTTCTGCAGCATGTAAGAAAGTGAACTGAGTGAACGAGCTTCATTGGTTGTTGTACGATTTCTCTAAGCAAAGGTTATCAGCAGGTGATCATTAATGCTTTAAAACTTCCTCGTGTCCCTGAAATAGGGAAAAGCTGATTTAATGGAAAAGGAGATCTGGCCTCTGGTATACAGCAGAAACTTTTACTAAATGCATACCAAAAGGAACAGAACAAAGTTCCTTATGGCAAGAAGAGAAGTCCTTCTAGGTACCTTCCAGAAGCTCATGTACAAGTGGCAGCACTTTGTAAAAATCTCCTCATTCATGTATTGCTGCAAACATCTTGCTGGTAATGCCTGGTGCTGCCTACCTCTGTTCTGATTAATGACATTTCAGTAAAAGCAGGTTACAGGAAATGTTGCCTACAGAAAATAGCCCTGGGAACTTGACAGATATTCCAGAAGTCATCATCTGTTTCTGGTTCATGCTCTTCTTGCATTTAAAAATGATTTCTCATTAACCGATGGAAGCATACGAATGTAGTTAAGCAGTGTGCTGCAGGCCTTCGAAAGCAAAGTTGAAACTCTACACTGATCAGTAAAAATGAAGGAAAAGATGTTTCTGCTTTGCCTGCATCCATTATTAACCCGAGTCTTCCCACTGAATGGTCATTTAATATCATCTATTTTTAACCTGTAACTGATGCAGTTCCCTGATGTTTGCTTCACACTGCAACTGAAGGTCCCGCATTTGGTTTTCGTGTTTCTGATGCTGAGCCAGTCTCTCATTCTTCTGCCTCTTTTCTTCTTGAACAGCAAACTAAAATTGAAAATAAAAAGATTATTTATATTGTGCCTCTGAATACAACAGTTTACATGAGCCAAAGAACTCCATGTAACAGAAGGAACACATACTGAGAAGAATGGTTTCAGAAGATTTAAGCAATAATTTTCTCTACTCTTTCTTTTTTAAAATCTTTACAAAGGGAGTGCCCTCACAGTTTTAATTACATTTCTCTGTTTGCACTCTGATTTTTCCTTAAAGCACAGCACATTTCACTACCAGACTCCTGCAATTATCTCCCTCTGAAGGTAAGTGACACAGCAGTGTTGCTGCAGGCGTTGGTCGAGGTTGGTGTTATACAGCTACAGGACATCTTATTTTCCAGATTCTTCATCCTTCCAGTGCTCACCATATGAAACCATGACTTGGGACTTCGGTGCATCTCTAGAAAGCAAACCTCTCAACATCTTCACAGCATTCCCTTTTAAAGAATGAGTGAATACCTACAGTTTTAGTTCATAAATTCACAAAAATCAAGCATCCTTAAAAATATTTCACAGAATCACAGAACAGCTGAGGTTGGAAGAGACCTGAAAGATCAACTCCCTACTCAAAGCAAGGTTGACAGGAACGAGCTGCACAGGTCTGTATCCAGTTGGGTTCTGGGCATGTCTGCAACCTCTCTGGGCTGTCTGACCATCCACACACTAAAGAAGTGTTTTCTTATGTTTAAGTTGGATTTTCTGAATTTCAGTTGTGCCTGCTTCCTCTCACACTGTCACTGGGCACCCTGGGAAGAGTCATGCTCCACCCTCTTTGGGTACTTATGCACACAGATAAGACCCTCCTGAGCCCACTCTCCTCCAGGCTGAGGCATCCCAGGTATTCCAGGTGGTTCCTCGTGTAACAAAGACCCAGGAGTCCCTGGGTCAGCTTCAAGGCCCTTTGCAGTACTTGCTCCAATAAATTCATGTCTGTGTTGTTTTGGAAAGCCCAGGATTGGACTCAGTGCCCCAGAAGTGTCCCAGAAGAGTCTCACCAGTGCTGCAGGAAAGGATGATTTCCTCTGACCTCATCCAGTGCATCAGCTCAGATTGGTACCATCTGTGAACCTGTGCGAGTGCACTCTATCCCATTCTCATATTGGCATTTACACTATTAAAACTAAATATTAATTTAATTATTACCTGCTTAATTTTTTCACGATCTTGGTCTGGAGAGGCTAACGAATTGATTCTTAAACTTTTCTTAAACATTGCCATGCGAGTCTTTGCTTCACTTCGCTGGATTTTAGGCAGTCTGGCTCTTTCCTGAGTTTGCTTGTTCTTTAACTCCTCAATAAGGCGTTGATTATATCTCTGCATTTGTTCCGTTTCCTGCAATGGTAACCACGTGGAAATGTTACAGAGTAACCATCAATGTTATACTATCTGCATCTCATTTCCTCAGTAAGCAACCAGTGTGAGACAGCAACAGAAACCAGTCCCAGCCCCAGCAGCACCAGTGGGCAGGGGGGCTTCTTCCAGAGCGCTCTGGATCATGCCCAGCCCTGATAAGATTCTCCAGCTAACGTGAATACACATATATTTTACCAGTGGTTGCTCAACTCCTGAACTGCCTTTTAAAAAGTCTGTTGTTCAAAGGGAGAAACTTCTGTGCAACTGAGCTCCTGGGCTGCAGCTGTGAAGGGGCAGTTTGCTGCAAAAGCTGTGAAAACAACATCCAATACGGGATGAACCAGAGCGGACAGGAATAAGCCTTCAGTGGAGGCTGTTCATGTTCTGATCACCAAGGAGATCCTCTAACACCTCCCTATTGGTTTACAATTTCAAAAACTGAACTATTTGCTTTAGAGTATTCTATAAAAAAACAAATAAGGATTTTACAGGATTTAGCTATAAAGAGACAGTTGTCAGCTACTCGCCCAATAGCTAATCCAGTTTATTCCACTCATTTAATTCCAGGATGATTTACTTCTGAGTAGATTTACTTAAACACAAGTCAAAACCGATTTGGTATCCGAGCAGAATTCAGTATTTTTAGTAGAAACGGGTTGATGTTGTGACTGGTTGGGATTTTTTTAAGAATCAAAAGAGAAAAATATTACTAGTGATACTTCTACATACTACTAAGGTATTTGAGTACGATGATTAAGATTTTTGAGTTTCAACAGCTTCAAAATACTTGTGTGGGTCTTGTCTGTGCAAACAAACAACTACCAGAAGAGATTATAAGACTACTGACAAAAAAATTGGACATTATAATACACAACAGAATGTGTCAAAATCAACACTAACTTTTTCGTGCCTCTTAAGCAGTTGGTGTCTCTGCATGAAGTACTGATCTTTGAGCTGCTGTTTGAGGAGCTGGTGTTTCTCCTGCAGATGCCGCTCCTCCAGTTCCCAGATTGCAGCTTCACGAGCTGGAAAAAAGAGGAAGCTGGTTCAGAAAGTGCAACAACCACACACTGCTTCCCAATCTACCTGCTGGTGTATGTTTAGAAGTAGCCTACAAGTGCATTTTGAAAACAATGCTATTCCACAGAAAATGCTTTTATTACCATTGTAAATTACTCATGAAGGTCTTCTTAGAGTGAAGACAGAATATTGTTTTATTAAAACACAAGGGCCTGTTTTTAAAGAGAGGCTGATGTTGGATACCTCTCATGAGCTGCTGTTTGTTGTTGAGACAATCTCGTTCAATAGTGGCCAGTTCCGTCTTCTGCTGCTGAATAATTTTCTTCAGAGATGCATCCAGTTCTTGTTGCTGCTTCTGCACAAACTCCTGCTCCTGGTAAAAACCAATAAAAGTAAATTAAATTTTGTTCTTCTAACCACATTACATTTTAATGAAACTCCCAGTTCTCTCAGCATTAGCTATATATGAAATTTTGAGCTAGCATGCCGTGACTATCAAATTATCCATCTTTCGTTTTCGCTATTTACAGAGTAGGTAAGAGTATATTTAATATTTAAGTAATACCTTCAGAAGTAAGACCAAAGGGAACAAACTAGTCAGCAATCTGCAATTCATTCCATCTCGTCTCTCCTCAGAACACATTGCAGGTTCAGAGCCAGCAAAGACAAGTGCTCGGTATAAAGTTGATCTCATTCTATCAAGAGTTAATTATTCATGTAGGTAAGAAAATAAAGGTATGTATGGCTATTTTGCTTTGGGTGATTAGTTAAAGCCTATTTATTTACACAGATGGGTTTCAGATTTGTGTGGTTTATCTTGTCCTGAAGGCAGAGGAATTGAGGCTGAGAGTTCTGTAGGTCCACTGTGCAGACACTCCATGTTCTGCAGGACTGTCACCCTGTCACACCTGAGCTGAGCTGGCTCTTTGCAAAGTGATTTACCACCTGCCTGATGCAGTCCTCATATCACCTGCATCTTCCCATTATCCAGGTTGCATCCCATCAGGAAAAGCAGGCAGCAGAAGTAATCCCCCTCCCATGCCCCTCCCCAAGCAACCTTACTGTTGCCTTTCTTCTTCCAACTATTAAAAACCATAGCCATGAGCAAGTGAGCATGCACACCCCCCCCCGTAAGAACAAGAAATTAAATCAGATGCTTCTATCACACAATATCAAAGGTCAAAAGAAAGGACAACTCAGGGTCCTGTCAGAGCCAAGGGGAGGTGCTGAAGCACCTGCTGCTCTACACAACAAAGCAACACTAAAGATGGTCTTAATCTTGGAAGGGAGATGGGAAAACTGGGCTGCAGCTGATCAGTGGAAGGGTTCCTGAGCTGCTATTAGTTTTTTTCCCGAACCTATAGTACTTGCTAATTAGAGTTGTCAGGTGGAATTAAATGTTCATTTAAAGCACTTTTTAATATGACCAGAAGAATCCTGGTTTTCATCTTCACGGAAAGTTATTAATAGATGAGGCTTTCATCTTTCTCAGTGGACAGAAGAGTTACACTGAGAAAGGTAACACAAAACCAGAGGTGAAGGAAGTTGCCAGTGACAGACCTGAGGGTACAAAAAGAACCGGAAGGTGATGTCTGTAAATTAAGTGAGACATACTAATCAAATATATGAAATGATAAAAAATACTGTTGTTTCCCTTTCTAAATGAAAAGGATAAGAAGACTACAAGTTTATTATTCTGAGGGTGCAGATACATAATTAACACAATGTTTAATTTCCTGGCAGTTTTTTGATTTGAAGGGAGTAGGGGAAAGCTGTTCTGGTGTAGTCATGGTCAAAAAGTGATTAGGCTTGAGCTTTACACAGTCATTTAAATATCACTGCTCTTCTCTCTAAATCTTAAGAAGTTTTATACCTGCTAGCACTATAAGATAAACCAGGCAATCTCAGGAAACACTCTGGCCTTTCCACATCTACTCAAGTATCACACAAAATAAAGGTCACCGAGTTTACCAAAGAACATGTAGGTTGTTTCAAAAGCAGACAGAGCAAGACAGCTCACCTTTTTCAAGCTACCACCTGGTTTTGCCCAATAAGTATCTTAAAATAAACTCAGATATCTTTAAAATACATAGTTTCACTGCACACACAGCATACAAGTCACACAATGTTTCTCACATGTGCTGAACAAATAATAAGCTCCAGAGAACAGTATCATATTGCATATGTGAAATCTCAGTGTTTTGCCCAGACTAAACAAGTAGTGTAATTTTGACCTTTTGACAACGAATTGTGCATCATTACAAATTTGTGCTAATCAGTTTGGAGACAGCAGCGACATTGATCAGCACATATGATCAGAAGGAGAGGAGAAAACACACGTCTGGAAAATGAGGAAAATAAAACTTTTGTTGTTTTGCATCTTAAGACTTACATCCTGCATTTGTGCGTTGAAAAGCGTACACGAAGACAACTGAAAAGACTGAATCATAACCTGAGCAACGCCCTGTGGGACACAATGTACTTCCTATGTCATGATACAATGAAATATATTTTTATTCCTAAAAAAAGGAAGAAATTATCTCTGCTGTGTGTTAGTAATAAGCATTTAAAATGTCAAGGCTCATCATAGAAGTAGATATGACAATATTCTAAAATTAAACATCTGCACCTTGTCTAGTACTTATCATTCCAAGTAAGGATATTTCACATTTAAAATTTTCTCTTTCACCTCTCTTCAACAAAGAGAAAGCAGCAAAGTAAATAAACCAAGTTGCTACAAACACTATGAAAAACTAGGGTTTTGTTTCTTTAAAAAGTTTAGACGGGTATCTCTGGTATAGGGAGAGCACTGCAATTCAATCACATTCTATCCTGGGAAATCCCCTCTTAAACACATAATCAAATAAAGTTGCGATTATTTTCCACTAGGCCACTCAAATAAACATTTAATCTTAAAGTTACTCAATCCAAACCTGCTCTGCTGCGGTTGAAACTCACTCTGTACAAGCTGTGGCCGACAAAAAGCCAATATTTTTCTAAAATATTTGCCCTCTTTTTAACTGGGTCATAAAAAAGCAGCAAGTCTGGAGGCATGAAATTGTAGATGTCTTGCAAAGTTTCTGTACACCTACACTTTGACATTTAAATAACATTTTACCTAATCTGTTCTGCTTCTATAAACAAGATGCCTCATGCTTACATATATATACATTTTCCTCTCCTGCACTTGTGTTGTTCAAAACTTACTTCTGACTATAACCTCTAAAATCTGAAGGACCTGTGGGGTACTTACCACTCGTAAAAGCACTGGAAATAAACCTGCTGTAGAAAATTACCATTCTTTTTCAGTACAGCACACGAAACATTCCACTTGACAGTACAAACCTGGGAACCGCTGCTCCTACATGTCTACCCAGTTTAGTCTATGAGATGTGATATGGGAGTACTTGAAGGAAGAGAGCAGTACGTAGGGTTAGTTTGAGTTAAGTTCCATATTCACTCAACAACAACAAGAAGTGAAATCATCAAGCTGTGTGAATACTGCTGCCTTTTGTATTTTAGTAGCTTGAAGCTGCCGTTGTTACCTGAGCATGCTGGCTTTGTGCAAGCTCCTCTTTCTTGCGTTTCATGAGCTCTTTTCTCAGCTCTTTTGGTGCTTTCTCCACTTCACATAAAACCTACAGTGTATATAAGCATGCAGAGGGTGGCAAAAAGAACACTTTTTCTCCACAGCAAGCATTACTGTGAACACAGGACATGCAGGTCAAGCACTAGAGGTACTGGGAAGCATGCATTACTTCAGTGGCAGGGATGTTAGTTTAGTGAAAAGAGCTTAATGAAAAGAGAAGGAACAGTAGGTGCTTTATGCATGCCAGCAGTGCAGAAAGAAGGGATGTGCCAGCCGCTTTTTGCATGCAAATGCTGCCCAGTGCTCTCAGAAATGGAATCTCTCGCTTGTGTTTCCATGCAGCAGCCAGAAGAGTCAATAGTTAAGAAAACCACCACCTGCAAAAGTGGTATTTTCTTGAAGCACTATGGCAAAAGGACTACAGAGTATGTTTACCTCATAGTAAAACTGTGAAACACAGTTGGAAGTTTAAAAAACTTCCATGGAAAACCAGCTATTTCTGACACTGTCTATAACTTAAATTTACAAGATGCCATTATTAGTGTCTCCAACCATAAATGACATCTACACAGGTTATGTCTTTAAAATAATAATACAAGCAAACAAAGTATTATTTGGTTGCAAGTGTTTGGTTCTAAAGAATTTAAAGCAAAACCCACCAATAACTACGTTTTCAAGAAACTATTCGTGACAGTGTGCCGGGATGGAACGTGTTTCAGTTCAAGGTGAATTAGACTAGATTAGCTGAAAGATTCTAAATATAACCTGGCTAAATCAACTGACTATTAATCTGTTAATTTGCTAATGTGTTTTATTTGGTTTTGAGACTTATAAAAATGTAGCATTGCATACTCCAGTGTAGCATGGATAGTTTTAGAGCACCAGCTGCATTTTCCTTCAAATTCTACATCGCCTTTTTAAGCTTTAAACACAAAACTATGCACCCAGAAACAAATGCCTGTTTGTTTAATAGTGGAAGCATCATAAGAAAACAGAGTCCAAATCACCACATGCTACTCCTGTTTCCATGAAAGAACTGTTTTTAGCTCAGAGCAATAAGTAAAATTCTCCCCGCTTTCCCATGTAGGACCCAATCACCAGTAAACAGAGAGAGACTCAAAAATGCAAGAGGTACCGCAAAAGAAGAAAAATTGTTATTTATATTTGAGCATACGGTTCAAACTGAATACAACTTATTTCTTTAATGCAGTTTTGTGCTACAGGATCATTCTATGCAAAAGCATGGACACTACAGCTTTCTAAAGAAATCTGAGTCTAGTAACTATTAGAGGAAACACTAGAGCCATTCATATATAAATGGGCACTACACAATTGATCCAAAAATGAAATAAAACAGCTTTTAAGATGCGAAATCCACACGGAACTACATCACCTTCTTTTACTCTAATGCAAGCAAATTAAGAGCACAAGGTGTCATTGTCAATTGTCATTCATTTTGCCTTAAGTGTATGACATGTATGAGATTAACTGTAGAAGATTTTAGGTTATCCACACTTCTCTCTCCTAGCTTTCTTTTTGGAGCTAAAAAGCCAAATCCATGTTACTGCTCTCACTTCATATAAAGAAATTCTAAACAATAACAGCATACGCTCAATGAAAATCTAACAAATTACTCTAACAAAAAAGAAACATATCTGAAATTAAAGTGGTTCTCAGTAATAATCAAGACTGTATTATTGTCTTCAAAATTCTAATCTGATAAGTATTTACTAAGTACCCATAGCTGGATTTGTTTAAAGTAGAAAGCTCAAACATTTTCCACAATCTTTAAGAAAATACTTTTTCTTGATTTAATACGAGAGAAAGTATTTTATTAAATATTCTGTGAAAAATAAAGTCTACTAACTTGGTGATGTTCTCTAGATTAAGTCAATACCTCAATCTTCCTGTTAGCTGTTTGTATTTCACTTGAGGCAGTAAAACAAGAAACAATATTGACTGCTAGTAACACTTCCACAGGTCAGTTGACAAGGCTTCTGGGAGACCTAATCTCAACTGTTTACTATGCCCATACTCCTTATTTTCTATATTATCATCGCCTCTTACCTCTTTTTTCTTGTTTTTCAGCACGTTCTGGAATTTGGACAATTCCTTCTCCTGTTCTGCTTTGATGCGTTTTGCTTCATCCCGTAAGCGGTTCGTGTGCTCCTGTTCCAGGCGCTCTATCGTCTGTTTCTGCTGCTTCTCTAGGTTTTCTATTTCTTGATCATACTGTCGCTTTTTACTCTGTGAAAATAATTTGGCAGCTTTTTTTGGGAAACTAAGTTCTGTTCAATGCAGTGCTGTACCGCAGCAGGGCATGGCCCTGATGAACTGTTCTGGCAGGCAAGTTCCAGCATACAAGCTGGGCACCCCACGATGCAAAATACTGCTTTTTATTAACAACAATGAAGGCTAAGCTACAGCCATCATAAAAAGAAACACCTGATTGCTGCTAGCAGTATTCTGCCTACTCCATCAAGATGTTGTATTTTAAGAGCAGCAAAATCCAGAAACTCACTGTCATTTCCTGTTCAAAACGTCTGAACATCTGTTCTCGCTGTTGCAAAAGCTTATTACTGAGCTGCTGTTGGGCTCTCTGCTCCTCTTTCTGAAGAAGTCTTAGTTCTCTTAGCTCTTGACGTCTAATAAGGAAAAAGAATCACTTAATATTGATGGGAAAGCAAAAGAAGAGGACAATTACAGAAGACAAAAAGGAGCATCTACAATTTAGGTCCAGTAAAACTAGTTTTGAATTGACTGTCGTATGAAGAAACACTTTACATTCCTTTCTACTAAAAAAATACTGTAAATTAATCCCTAAGTATTTCTGGAATAAGATCACTAGCTGCCTTTTTTTATTCAAAGAGAAAAAAAATTAGCTGCCAACGTCTTGAAAATTTTACTTACACAAACACTTACCGTAGGAATCGCATTTCTTCACTTTTGGAGTCATTTTCAGTGACTATTTTTGATGTGGTTACACTCACTTCTACTCCATCAACGACAAACTTCCGAGTTTTCTTTAACGTTTTCTTCTGTCTTCTAGTTTCCTGAATAAAGCATTGTTAAGTTATTCTGTACTTATTTAAATTACATTCTTTTTCCTCCTTTTTCTTATTAGATCAAATATTTCTGTGAATGTCTACTCTATAGTAATCTGGAGTTCTTCTCACTTAGCAGGTATCTCACTAATCAAGTGAGAACTTGAAAAATTCTAATAAACTGAAACTTTCTTTCATCAGCAAAGGAAAACTGTAATTATTGATTAACCAAATTGCCAGAAGAAAAAAAATCTAGATAAACTCTGAACAAAACTGATGCAGTTTTATTTTCACGAGCTGAAGACAGCTACAGTTCCTGTTTGCTTTCGATCATGATTTTCTCAGTCACCTAAAAAAGACATTTAAATCTGAAAAACAGTTCCAAACCAGAAAATAATTAACTCACCTACTTACTTCTGCTTTGGAAATAAATGAGCTAGTCTAATTTTTTTATTCATATATATCAGCCAAAAATCATGTGATGAGATTGCTGACAACTGAAGAAATCTCAATTCTCAAAGCTGCTGTTGTTTCATTATAAGAGAAGAGACACCCCGGTTGAAACTGCATCTCCACTGTGTCAGGGCTACTGCAAACACCCTGAAATCATGTTTAGCACAGCTATGCCAAGTTATGGGGGTTTTGTTTGGTTGGTTTTCTAGGTTTGTTTTTCTTCCATTCAAACCCATGTTACACAGTTACTACCTTAGTATGGCTATAATTATATTAGTATACAGATATAAATAAAGTTCATAGCCTGGAATGTGATTCCTCTGAATAAGCTCATTCATACAGGCATTGCTGCATTGACACAGCACAACCACAGCAGCAGTGTTTGGAATAAACAAACCCAACAGAATATCTGCCTTGGATCTCCCAAATCTAAACAGAGAGACAGATGATGGAAGCGACAGGAATTCAAGATAAGATTAGATGTCACAGGAGATTTTTCCCATTAAACAGGGATTCTGTGTTGAGTAAGGTATTGAACTCGTCTTCTTGAATATCAGCTCTGAACTACAACCATTCACAATTCTTCACATTTAATATTGTTAGAATTCCTGTTATATGCTAGTCCACATTTTTAAAATACAATTATGCAATAATTTAAGAAAATAATTAGCAGAAATGAAAAAATACAGACATTGTCATACCGTGCAATTTACAATACTTTGGTTTCTACAAAGTTAGTTTTGTATTTATGTGCCATACTAGTTTCTCACTCAACACTTTTCTTTGTTGCAAAAATCAAACTTGGAAATAATTTTAGGGTCACACCTCACATGAGAATTTATATTAAAAACCATATGATTGCTTACACTTACCTGTAAAGATATTGATCCTGTCTCTTTGTTCTTACTAAGGAAACTAGAAATGGACAAGTTCAAATCAATGCTGCTGTTATCAGCTGTAGAACCTGTGCCTGAATCGGCATCATTTTCCTTCACATTCTCCGACTCTACCTGCTGGGAAGTTTCAGTATTGCCTTGATTATCTGTTTTGACTTTCTCATTTTCTTCAGTGCTAATACTAATACTGGGGACTGGAGTGACTTCAGAGTCATCACCTTGTTCATTGACAGTATTTTGAAGCTTATCCTTCATTACTTCATCAGAAGTAACTTCTAAACGTTCTTTGTCTGTCTGAATGTTGTTTTCCTGGATATTCTCAGGTCTGCACTCTCCTGAATTTTGGTCCATATCAGTCAGGTTATCCACCACTTTATTAGAAATATCCTCAGGCTTGCTCTGTATTGCCTTCTGGTCTACGACGTCTTTTCCAGAGTCTTTGATCTTTGTTTCCTCCGTGCTGCTTATATTACTAATATCCTCATTTTCACTTTCGGCCAGTTTCTTGTCTACTTTGATCACTTTATCTTGGCTTTCTGATAGAGTTTCTTCAGAGCTGATTATCTCATGGACCTGCTTAGCCTGACTTTCCACTGGCTTATCCTCCAGCTCAGGTATTTTATCCCCATCACTGATCGGTGTTTCAGCAATACCACCTATCTCCTTAATGTTGTCAATTCCATGCTTTATTAGTTCCTTTTCTTCATCAGACCCTTCGACTGTAGCATTAGGTAGAGTTTCTGTAGTGGTGTCTATTGTTGCCTCTGTCTGCTCCTCATTTTTATTTTCCTTTTGCTCTGTATCTGTATTTTCTACAGGGACCTTTTCTTCCTTAAGTCCCAAGAGATCTGTTCTATTCTCCTTCTCTTCTTTTTCACCAGTTTCCTTAGAAATGCCTTCTTCAGTTTCTACACTATTTTCAGTTGTGGGTACTACTTTCAGTTTATTATCTTCTGTCTGTTCATTTGCTGTGGAATTTTCTTTCTCTATTTTTAGGTTGGGTTCATTCTTTATTTCTGGTTTTGTTACCACGTCAAGTTCTTTCCCTCCTTTCTGGGGTTCTGTATCCTTATGTGGTTTTTCCAGGCTTTCTGTGTCCTTTTCTGCTGGCATTATTTTGCCTTCCTCATCTTCACCAGTTGGCACAGAACCGTTTTGCACTTCCATATCGTTAACGGTAGTATCGCATATCTTATCAGCTGTTTTCCTAAATTTAATGTCCTCAGATTCATCCCCAGTTGTTTTGTCCTCAATTGCATTACTTCCTGTTTTCTCAGAGAGAGATTCCAGGACAGAGGCATTCTGTGAAAGTTTATCCTCTTCAGAGCTGGCAATGCTAAGGTCGGAGGATGCACGCTTTTCTGCAGGTAACTGCTAAAAAATTAAAGGAAGAGAAACACTTAAACATTTTGTAACTTAAGCAAAGCACAGTTCCATGGAAGAATACCTGAACAGAGATTAATATTGTATTTACAGGCAAAGAATTTGATAACCTCAGAGTACTTCACTTGGCATTACCACAGAACAAGTTCACGAAATGCAGACAGGCCCTGAACAGAAAGTTTCATAAGAACCCTCTTCCATATGTCATAATTGAATAAAATACACTATGATTGAGGGAAAGGCATTATGGTCATCAGCCACTCTTCAAGAGTCTTTTTCTTTTCACATTGTTTTTTTTTTTATCAGTTCAGTTCCTCAATAGTCCCAGCTACAGTTGGATCTGAAAGACACGTCTTTGTGCCAGTTTGGCTAGAAAAAAAACTGTGTAGCTTCAGTTAGTGCAGTACTGATAAAATGAAATTTTAAGACCTTCTTCTACTTCTCTTTGTGTTCTTTGTTAAAAAAGCCTGAAATTTTTTTATCTATTTTTTAATAGCTGTAAAACTCCATTAAAATGGTGACAACTTCCAGCAGATCTGATTAAGTGGCAATACAGAACCAGAACAGAAACAGTTACCTCACTGTAGAAACTGCTACTGTCAGAATATGAATGTTATCAGATTACATACAGACATACAAAAGAATATAATAATAAAGTACCATTTTAGCCATAATTGATCTTTCACTCTTCAAAGTGACTGTGATATCTCTCTGTCTGTATTTACTGTCAGAACCCTGTAATTTGCAGATCAGGCTCCTGATTTGCCACTGGGAACATCCCAGGTTAGCTGTTGCAGCAAGCATGGGTTTGATCACGCATTTCTTACTTTACGGGTTTCCCAGGCATACATAAAACAATTCCTTTTAAGTCAAAAATGCATTTCAAATATTTCTTCACAGAATTATTCTAGAAGCTTAGTGTTGATCTCCAAGAAGTGTTTAAAGCTACCACAAGTAAATAATGTGAACGCATCTACCTCACAGTTCTTAAAATGCTGCTTTTGAGATATTTAACTGAGTCACAGGTGGATCTCACTCCAGCCCTCCTAGGGATTGATGGCTTAGCAGCTCGTCAGTGGAAGGAGGTGGTGGATGATCCTTAGGAGATAGAGAATAAGTCCTGGAGGAAGCTCGTGGGAATGAACACTTGGAGATTTGCTGGGGTGGACTGGGAGCGGAGTGTGAAGGTCAGGGGACATGAGTAGTGTGGTGATGGGAGAAAAGGAAATGAAGGGATCTGCTCCTGCTCCTGCATTTGGCTCCTTCACCAGGGCTGGTAATGGCAGCTCCTGACAGCGCCGGGCACTTGCACCACTCAGGTCAGGAAGCACACGGCCTGTGCACTCTGCAACCTGCCACCCCAGCACTGAACACTGGGGCTTTCCCCTCTGAGCAACCCTATTCACGTTATAAGATTCTTAAAGCATCTCCAGAAATACATCCATAAATGCAATCCTGCCTATGTAAAATATGGGGGCTTTTGTTTTTCTTTTTTTTCTTTGACAGCCACGCTGTAAAACCTAGTTTACAGCATAATAGTCAAATACCTTTCTTAGTCTTCTACACACTTCATGGAATACAAATGCACGTTCACTCATTCATCTAGTCATTTTGCCTCAAAACCATTTACACAAAAATCAGTATCCCACTTCTAAAATATCACATATATATGTAAAACAAAAATGAAGATGTTAGTCTTTATTAGTTATTATTTATTACTAGGAGTTTAAGAACATGCTAATTTTGAAATTGTTGACTACTTATTTTATAATAAGGTTGAAGTATGTTTATGATGTTATTTTTAGAAGACTTCTGCAAAAGTCAGTTAGTACATCAGAAACAGGATTCTCCATGATAAGCTGGAGATTGCATATTTAAAAAAGCAAATTTTAAACTGACCAGAGAATTCTCTGTTTCCTCTTCTTCATCCTCATCTTTACCATCTTCAACTTCTTCTGTAACTTCAGCCTTAGCTTCTGCAATCAATTCTCTTATTGGTTTATTGGAAGTAACAGTAACAAATGGATGCTTGTGAAAATAAAAAAATAAGCACAATATTAAGTGCTGACTTGCTAAGTTGAAAGAAATACAACTTCATAGAAACGTTATTGTGGTTCTCTTAAATTTGAAGATTCACAATTAACATTAATCATAACTGTCCTAATACATTTTTTCTGCTGAAGTCTTAAAATCAAAACATTTGTATTCAAGCATATCGCGTAAGCAGTCTAACAAACTTGCTAAAAATATAAATAATTCATTTATACTGACCTTTTTCACAATCCAAAGAATAGAAGTAGAAATATTTTTAAAAAGGTTATTTTTCTTGGAAACAACTTTCATTTCAGTTCCACAGTTAAGTTATTTCCTGATAAGCTTTATCTAGGATGACTCTTTCTAGAAGAAAAACGTGCTTTGTCCTTAGAACAATTTCTCCTAAAACAAACTGGAATTCTATTCTTTTTCTTTAAGAGCAAACAGGTACCTATTCTCCTACTGTCTGAATCTCCTTTCTCTGCTTGGCCCTGCTGCTTAAATCTACTCAACATATGCCAGATGGATTGTGGATGAGGTAAATGCGCGCTGACGTTAAACAGAATCAAATGTACCTGGTCACATCTATTCCTGTTCAGCTGTTCTGCAGTGACAGCATTACAGGGAGGGCTGAGTGCTAAAGCTTTTAGAACACCTGTCAGCAACTGACTACACACGGAAATATCTCCTTCATCCACTACAGCTATCAAAGTATAATTACTTACACAAAGTAATTAGCTATATCACATCAAAATACGTTAAACAAATAATCTGATCTGCACTTGGTATCAATTACCCAAATTTTATCAAGTAAGGATCAATGCATCAATTTTAAAAGCAGGTTGTGTATGAACACTCGATTTGAAATAATTTAAATTGTTACTATAATACTGCTCTGCTTTTAAAAAATACAAAATATGCTTGCCTTTAAACAACAGTTCTGAACAATTAACTCTTCCTACCTGTAACAGTTGAGTTGCACTCCACCTTGCATCTACATTCTTTTCCAAACATTTCTTCAGAAAATCTTTAAAATCTGATGACCTACAAGAAAAGCAAACAGGTAGTGGTTGTTCTTCTGTCTATTCAGACTAGCATATACTGAAATATTCTTTTGCTTTCCCATAAATCTACACTGCAATTCCAGGTTCTTCTACTGATTCAGGGAAAAACGAAGAGTACAGGAATGCCAAGACCAACATGACACAAATACAACCTTTAAACTGTTTGTCCATTAATAAAATGGACATTCTATTAATAGAACAAACATTCTGCATTTTTAATACATCACATCTACTACACCACTAACTGAATCATGTAAAGATATTAAATTGACCAACTAGATAATGCCTTTTAAAATATTTTCTTAGTATAAGAATGCTTTAGTCTGCTTTTACACAATCTCTTTTCAGATGGTCTTCAGATCTGTTACTGCATTTGTAAAAAGCTATTTCACACACATTTTAAGGCAAAATCTGCATAGTACTTCTGTATAAATGCTTCTATACAGAACTATGACAAAAAGACCATAGTTCCAATTGTGTGAGCAGATTATATGTGTGTGTACACATGTACAAACATACACAGAATATAAAACCAGACCACAAAGTTCAACAAGGCTATGCTCACGAATATGAAGTTTAGCAAACAGATGACTTGGCATGCCTTGTACTCAAAACCTACAAACTAGGAACATTGTAAATAAAATACTAACCATTTTGAAGGCTGTGCTAACGTGGGAGGATCAGATTTTGCAATTTTCAGAAGCACTCGCATGGGATTTAATTCATGATGAGGTGGCTCTATTTGAGCCATTTCTATTAAAGTAATGCCAAGAGACCAAATGTCAGCCTTATAATCATAAGGCCTGTCTTTAGAGGTCTCACACATTACTACTTCTGGAGCCATCCTGCAAAGAGAATAATGAAGTACAGGATTAGAGAACGCATTCTGATCTGTTCTGAGAACATTCTAAATACAAACAGTCACTGAAGCATTTTAAGCAGCACATTCTACCCTCATTTAATATATTTACACAGTATTTACCAAGCTTGTAATAATAAAATTAAAGGTAATATTAAGTTATTAGTTTTTACTAAAAAGTCAGCAAAACAGTGCACTCACCAATATGGTGTACCAATAAAAGAGTCTCTTCTTTGTATTGTTCTTGTGTTTTTAGCTGATACTCCAAAATCCGCTTAAAGCAAACAGCAAAATACTATTAATGGGGTGGTAGAAAACATATTATATTTTTTATTTTACAATTGTCTTTTAAATGTTATATGTTCCAGAGCAAACATTGTGCAGTATTAAAACTTCGAAGTGAAACAAAAATATTGTGCTTTAATAGCCAAGGTTTTAGAGCATTTCTAGTACAGGACCTTGATTAAAACTTATACTCCATTTCTAAAACAGAAAGTAATGCTACTGTTGGGCTGTGTGGGACAAGAGCAATATATGTATTTACTATAGCTGATTCAAATTATTTTAATTAGAAACTAGTTTCTTTAGCCTACGAAGTCAGTATTCATGACATTAATTCAACAACTCATTCAATTTTTAATTTCAGGACTCAATTTCTCATGAAGAAACATTTTTCCTTTATCTTGCAGGTTTATTTTCACATGATTTTCACTTTACATCAAATATCGGAAAGCTTACATATCCACCTTTGATGTAATATCCAACCAAAACTCAACTTTATCTTTGCAATTACTTGTCTACAAAGCACTACATTTCTCACTTAAAAAAAAAAAGATATTTGAATAACTGTCGTATGCTTATTATAGATGTAATTTTGTTAATGAAGATCTAGAGATTAGAGCAAAGGGACAAAAATAGCCATATGTGTCCATCTTTAATCTGTACAAAATTACTTGATGGGCTCAACACTTGAGAAGTCTAATTCTGCTCTGCAAAAAAAAAAAATAAGGACTTTTGCAATGGTTCAAATGCAAAATCTGAAATCTTGAGGGACTAGAGATACTGAAATGATAAAACTCAAATCCTTATACAAATAAAATGCAATGAAGGAAATTTGTCATTTATGTATCTGTATAACAAGGAATTACCCATTTCTGTGTATAGCAGAATCAAAATACAAATAGTTTAAAAGTAGTAAAAATGCTCCTTCAAATGATGCTGTACACTTCTCAAAACTAAAGCAAATCTTTGCAAACCTGAATGTATCACTAAATGTAAGTGTGGCAGAAATCTCCCTGTGGTCTGAACTGTTTAGTATCTTGACAGCCTGCAAGGTGCTGTGTATCAGCTAGGCTTGACAAAATCTTAAAATAGTTCCAAGTCTGTGTGAGGAGAAGCCAGGTCATGTGAGGAAATGAACAGAAACAAATGACTTTCTCTGATCATGAGACTCCTGCTATGATCTGTGGTTTCTTTTACAGCAGTACTAAGAATCTCAGATAGCAGTTCTATTACATTTAAAAATAAGGCCTATGACCCCCAGTCCATCACTAATCTTCAAGATTTGTAGAAAAGTTAGTTACGTTCAACACATATAGCACACCAATTACAGAAATATTTGCATATCAAAACAATACTCAAACAATAGTTACATGTACTTTGCAGATTAAAAGAAAGCCAGATGCAAGGAATATAAGTACAAGCAACAGTCTTGAGCAAGGGGATTCATGCAAAAAGCACAGACACACTAAACTGATCAATATAGCAAAGCAAGTACTTAAACATTCTCAACTTCTTAACAGAGATGATGCACTGAACCTTGCTGAGACTCTGCCGTCAATACGACATGTTCAGACATATTTCTGAAGTTGGACATTCCTTGTTTACGTTTACAAGGATTGTCTGTAGCAAGGCTGGGAGTTCAGAGCCCCAGTTCACTGTGCTGATATTCTGATTCCCCTTACCTTTACCCTCTGTGTAACGTGCTTCCAAAGAAATACAACTAATCACAAACACCATGCAGAGAGAAGGTTCTGAAACCTGAGTGTGAACTGCAATGTCATGGAACTATGCCATGGGTAGAGCCACTGTAAAGGCTGACAGCTTATACACATTTGCCCCTGAAACAAAGTGGATCCAGATAATTCCTCTCCTTTCCTGGCTGAATAAAGGGAGGCTATTCACCACCAGTAGTCCTTTGTCAGTTCTATAGGAGGACTCCTCACGGATTCCCTATCAAATCAGAGTGAAAATGTGGATGACTGCTTAAATTCAGATTAAAGAAACAGGAATCAACAATAGTAAATTCGTATTAATTTTCCTCCAGACTGTTCTGTCCTAATTTCAGTGTAAGAAACAACTGACCAAGACACAGAAACACTAAGATGACTAATTAAGATAATTACTCCTCTCCAACAAAGGAAGAGACGACAGCACTAGGTACTGGTTTTTGGAGATAGTAAAGAATGCTCATTTTCCAAACTAACGATTTCCAAGGGAAGTTCTGATGTTACCATAGTAAAGGCAACTGTAAGTAAGAATGTTATACTAAGAAACAGTAGGAGTTGCGTCTGACTGTAGGCAACTTGGTGCAGATACTGACATGACTCCTACCCCCGCTGATTTCGGAGTGTGAAAGAAGTGCCAAGTATCATCAGGATATCTGCTCAAGCTTTTTCTTTTCTTGATAGTAGCAAACCACTTGCTTTTGAGAAACCCCTCATTGCTAGATTGGTATTTCAGTAGGTAAATAATGAACTCTGACAAACTGCAGCCTGAGGAAAACACAATTAAAAGACCATGCCAAGTTCTGGGAAAGTCTTTTATATGCAACATCCTTACCTAGTTTAATGTCTCCATCTAATGTGAAAAGAATATTGCCAGCCTTTAGATCTCTGTGGATGATCTTATTTTCATGCAAGTAGTTCAGTGCTTCCAGTGTCTGTCTGCACACCACTTTGATCTGTGGCTCTGTTAATGGCCTTTCAAGCTCTACAAGACAGAGACAGAAATAATCACAACATTTCTGCATTTTACATTATGTGTTCATAGCAATCAGCATAGTAATATATGTGAAAATTAATTTATCTGACAGATTCTAAACATCATATGTCAGAAAAGAATTCTATCTTATAATACTCTCTCCTTTCAGAAAAAATTTCATGCCTTGAACCCAAACGCCTCTCCATTATCAATTATGCATACCCACCTCTCTGAACTGTGAAAAAGCTATATAGTTTACAGATTGATTCTTCTATGTGGTACACAGAGATGCTAAAGACCAGATCCTTTACTTAAATGGTATTAGTATTCACCTAATTTGAGGAATAAGCACAGAAAAAAATCTAACTTGAAGGTAGATGCAATATAAAGAATTATCTCAACCTAACCTGGACGGTGGCAGTGGAAGAGGAAAAATGAGGTCCTGAAAAGGGCTCATACAGACTATGTTACAACAACAGAGATCTTCATAAGCATTTGAAAACAACTCTTCACATTTACTCAAAGGATTGAAACAAAAATGTTGTTAGAAAGTAAACAAACACTTTAAAAATGAGAGAAAATAAATCTAACTTAAGAAGTTACAATGTCCATAGATATAGATGTAAATACCCCAACGTTCAACACATATAGCACACCAATTACAAAAATATTTGCATATCAAAACAATACTCAAACAAAATAAATCTTACAATATATATTATCATTTTAAGGTGTTTATTATTTGAAACAATTTATTTACCCAACATGACTGCATCTACAGCTCCTCCTGCACAAAATTCGATCAGGATCTGTATTTAAACAAATAAAATACAGGAATTAGAAATTAAACAGTTCCACTGAACTGAATCATCAATTAAGGGAGCATTACTGAGAGATCAGAGTTTCAGACTATTTTGCCTCTACAAATTACTTTACTAACCTGCAAAATATTGGTATTGTTACCCAGCTAAAAGTAGGGCTGTGATGCTCAAGCAAATTATTTGAAAAATACTTGGAGATCCTCAGACAAAAGTTTTAATCCAAATATAAAATAGCATAACAAAACATAATGAAACAGTCAGCTTAAACCTACTCCTTGTAATGTGATTTACATAATCCTTGCAAAGTCATTTCTTGATTATTAAGCTCTACTTCTATACTATAATCTCCCTGACTGAAAAGTCCAAGAGCTAAATGATTTTCCATTAGCAGATGCTATCTCCTATATTGTTTCAGACAAGATGAAAATACAGAAAAATACTCTTAAAAGCTAAAGAAAATTACTAAATTCAGATGTTTACATTAATTTTTCTTCATTTTCATTCATGCCTACAATACATTAAGGCTTTTATCCCAGAATATACTAGAACAAGTCCATCTCCAGTTCTGAGTTGCATTTGAAACAAAAATAAACTGCAACTCTTTTGGAATACAAACTATGCTGACACAAAGGACAGAAAGTACATACACAAAGCAAAGAGAGGGTAGACAAAGGGAATGAGGAGAGTAAGAAAGAGGAAAGGTCATTCTAGATTGATACCCCACTCTTCCATGTGTTTTTATTTTGATTTGAACTTTAAACATTAAATTGTAATTTTCAGCCTGACAGATAACGAGTATTTCTTCTCAGACAGTCAATATTCTGGGAAATAATATCTTATTCTTTTTCTTTAGAGTAATTTTAAAATCAGAGTATTGTTGCCCATAAAAGAGGAAATCTCAAACTATACTTTATAGCATAACACTTATAGATACACCACTTATGTCACATATTACTTCAAATTACTATGGCAAATAATCCCCACAACAATGACACCAACAAATTTATTTTATAATGCAACTCTTTTTAAGGCCTTTAAAAATTATTCCATTTACATGCTTCTACATGCCAAGTAAGTCAAGTGTGGGAAATTGTAAATAAGGAATTTATTTCTCTAAACTTGCTGTCTGAGCTGACGAAGGTCTCTTTGATAAAGAAGTCATGTTTCCAAACCCATAAAGCAACAGTGTATTATTTTACATCCAACTATCATTCTTCTCTGTTTTCCCCTCCACTAAATTCTGTTTACTCACCACATCATTAAGCTTTCTCTTTGTTGCTTTCATACCCTTGCATTACACTGTAACTATGTAGCTACAACTTTATTTTCAAACTATTTACTGCTCTATCTTCATTCTGCCAGCAAAGCCTATCCACTCAGTTTCATATTCTGCCTCTATGCATCCTCGCTTTCATACTGAACTTTTTTATAGGATTTTTTTTCACTATTCCACTGTTTTATATAAAATCCTTTTAGTCTGCTTTAAGATGACAAAGTTTTAAGCTTAGCAAAATAAATGTAAATGAGGAAATACAGTATTACACATCCATCCTTTTCATGGCTAAAAGATAAAGCTTATTCGTAAGACTCCAAAGAAAATTTTCTTTTATTTGTTTTAGGTATCTTTTCTAAGTATAAACTTTAAAAAAACCCCACACATGTATTCTTTGTACAATTCCAAAAGCACTTATAAATATTGCATTGGATCACCTAGAAGAAAAAACAGCTAAAGCTATTCCAGTGAACACACAGGATACAGCAGAGGAGTGACGTGTAGTCATATGTATGCTCACCACACATCAAGGGTCTAATACCTCAGGTTTAAGTAAATTAATTATGGTTCAAGTACTGGTAAATTGTCCTTCCTGGAAGTGCCAACAGATTCACTCATATCTAAAATACATACTTCACAGGCTGACCTTTTCAGCACATTATTTATTCTTCAGGTGTGGATTCTGAATCTCACTCTAAATTGTACTAATGTAATTAAAATTTGAGTCCTGCTGCTACAAATAAGCACCAATTAAGAACTCTCTCAATACACCAAAATGAACTGCTAATTTCCACATTTTAGATTCAAACCCCTGACCAAATGACTCAGTGTAGCACAATTTTATAGTGACTATTTCCTAAATCTCACAATTTAAAAATTAGTTTTGAAACCAAGTAGTTATCCCAACATTGACAAGCCAGACAAAATGTGATTGACAAATGATCTATTAATAAAGAAAAAACTGTAATTTCAATAACCTTTTGAAATAAGTAAAAACACTTAAGAGAAGGAAAAATACCTACCCACAGATTGTTTTCATAGTAGAAAGCATCTAGGAGCTTGACAATATTAGGATGATCACAGGATGCTAAAATATCAATCTCCACCATGTAATCTTCAAGTTCTTCTTCTGATTTAGTATCTATCACCTTTGCAGCAGCCAGAACTTTTGTTTCTTTGTTCTGAGCCTGTAAAAGAAAAGGCACAGCAAACATATATACATGAATTTCACCAGATAACTGGCACCAGCAAAAACCCCCACAAACAAACCAACCCTCTCCTGACAGTTCTGTGCTGTTTTCCTGCCTCTAGCTTCCTTCTCTACAAAAAGAGAACATCTGCATATTAAAGAGCAGATAAAATCTAGCAGAAAAAGGGCTTAATAACTTTTCCTAGGGTTGAGAAACAATGAAAGACAAGAATGTAAAAATACTTAATTCTCGTCACACTCTTTAAACCATCATACAGTCAATGGGGTCACTACAGCTTGGTACTAAGATGAAGTTTTGGGCTGCTCCCCAAAACACCATCTGTTAACACTTGGCAAGGAGTATGAAGTAGCCTCCACCTTCTGACAGTCCCCACCTTGTGGCAGCACCGTTCTTCCCAAAGCCACACAGAGAACCTGATCCTCAACCAGGAACCAGCAGGTTGCCCCTCTTCAGCCAGGGGCTGTATGCAAGCTCCCAGGTTAAAGAGCTGCCAAGCCATCATTAGTTTGTCTGGGCTTTTTGCTCTCTTTGCTTCAGAAGTCTGGGAGGACTCCCACAGATGGGGACTCATGGAAAGTGGAATGCTGGAAATGCTGCCAACCTCTACTTTATTACTTCTCACCCTAAGATGAGCAAGCTGGAATTGCTGCAGTGATACGGTCAACTATAGAACCAATAAAACAAGGAAAGGGAAAACCAAACCAAGGGAAAGAAACCCCCAAACATTCTGCTAGGCATTTAAATATTCCTTGGCTTTTTTTTAAAACATAAGAAACGACAATCAGTTAGGGTGACTTATTGAAATAGTAAAACACTTCAGAAACCAGTAACTGCAAATACCACTTATCCACAGAATATTGCTGAAAACTAATGCAGCAAAACTAGGCAAGGCTAGATTTTTTTTAATATGAGGGAGGTAAAGCAAATACTAAACACACAGCCTATATACATGTACATACATACATGAAAACACAAAATTATGTACAGTCTCTAATAATTCTCTTGCAAGTTATGTTTGAAAAAATACTACATTCCAAGTTGCAGTAAACTTTAAATAAGAAGGTATATTTTTCTCAAACCATCATAAAAACACTACTTTGTCAGGGCATTTCCAGTGGCTATCTTATCTTTTGCCTCTGAATCAAACAAGTGTAGGACTGAAGTCTACTTCACCCATTATACGCAAAGACCATGAAGCAAAGGCCTACGTTTACTCCACTGAGTTTTTGACATTCAAATGAAATTAAATGGCAAGGAGGGACACAGGCTCTCTCCAAAGCAGCAGAAGACAAGGACCTGCAGGGGCAATTCCGACTCCTGATGTGAAGCATCACAAGGTGGTTCATCCTGTCTCTGCTGGTACAGCTGATGCACAGGGCCCAAACCCACTTGAGATCATCCCAGGACAGAACACAGCAAGAATCCCAAAACCTGAGTCTTGTTACCCAATCTCTTCATACCAGTACCAGAAAAAAGTTGCTATCAGACAGCAAGTGAGAATCATTAAGAATGATTTCCAAAGTCTAAATATTATTACTTTCACAGCTATAAATAATTCTCTCAATGTGGCAAAAGATAATAAAATATTTAAAGATAAACATTTATAATAATATTCAGTAAAATAGCAGTAACAGCAAAACACACTTTTAAGCACAGTCCCAGCCAATCCATCTCATGTTGAAGGTAAAGGTTTTCTGTAACATTTTTTCTTATCTCAATATTCTTTCCAAAACAAAAACCAACCAATCTTCCCAACCTCAATATTTGCCCTCCCACGTTTAACAACAAAGATAAGGAATCTGTGTAACATTACTTGAAAACAAACTACTGAGAAATTTTCCAACACGTGTTCTAATAATAAAAAGGAAAAGGTCTGCTTAGTAACGCAAACATCATTTGTTTTGGTTTCATGCTTTATAGCAAGAATCAAAGACCAACCTTCCTATTCTAGAGCTGCACTCTAAATTAAACACAAAAAGTGAAACAGATGTCTGATCAAAACAGAAACAGACTTGCTGGCTTTACCTGTGCAGAAAAATGGGCTTTAAAGCACCCTTCTAAAGAATTCAAATTTTAACTGTAAATGTACTTTTTTGAAACATGCATGGACATTCTTCACTGTACCTTAAAGAAGGGTACTTAACATAAAAAAAAATCTGAAAATCATTTTTACACAAATCTGCTTGCAAACTATAGAATGGTAACAATATTTTGCTTAAATAGAACTATCTACCTCAGGTATCAATAACAGATGTTACTGCTTTCTGATTCCGTTTCACCTCTGAGTGAGACAGGCGTTGGTAAGTTCACCTCCATGATTACACCCTCAGGAGTTCGCTGCATTTACAGCACCTATTGCTTTTTTCTATTGACTGAACACTTTGTATTTTGATTTTTCCCAGATCCTTTCACTTGAAGTAACTAAAAATCTGCTTTGAATAAGTTTCTATGATTTCCTCCTTGTGGTAGCTCTATTAAAACACCTCATTACGAAACAGAAGTTATAAGAGACAATATGATTATCTTTATGAGCATCTCAACAATTATAAACAAAACAAATGGTTGCCTTTGTTCTGACTTAAGATAGTAAAATTCTGTAGCTCTATATCCAGACTTTTTTTCCTGTTTTTAAAAGGAAAAAGCTTTAGAAGCAGCACATTTCCACAGGTTATTTCTGAGGACTGATAAAATATTACATCTGAAAAGAAATTATCCACTTTAAAGTTCTTCTTGAATAAGACAATATTCATCTCCACCCCACAATGCACTCAACAATAAATACCCATCTATGTGACTTGCTGCAAGAAGCACGTAAGAAATATGTTCTTTTGAACTGTGTAGGAAAGGATTTTACTGATCATGCATAAGATTTATGACTCAGTGTACTATGGGGAAAAAAAACCTCTTTGGATTAAGAGGAACAAAAAGCATTTACAGCTTTGTGTGGGCATGTTTGTTTTTTCTATACTTAGGCTCAAGTCTTTCTTCTGCCACAAAACATTCTCCAAAGGTCAGAGCAGGAGCAAAAATGATTGTGTAGACGCAGCCTTGATTTGCATATTCTCGTTTTGCATTTGGCTACGCCAACATTTAAAGTCAACCTGCCATTCATGTCACAGGACATATTTTGAAAGGGCAGATGCTCTAAGTAGCCGCAGTTTCCTACTGTATTTAAGCTCTCAACTACCAACTCAAGTTATTGCAAATGCTCTGCTTAAAATACATTTGATTCTGCTTCTGTGATAGATGATTTAAGCTTCAGTCCCATGCTAAGAAATCCAAACTGGCATTTTCAATGGTTATGTGGAGACAAGGAAGAAAGGAGGGGAAAGATTCATTAACAAAATTTGATCTTTCCAAAAGATACATACATAATGGATGAAAACTGAATTGGAATAACTCATTCCCTCAAGATGTGACTAATACAATATGACATGGATATTATTAACTACTATATGCAACTATACATAAATACCGCAATCCTTTCACCGAAACTTCTATTTGGATTATTATTTAAGGTTACTGCAGCAAACATTTTAACTTACAGAGTGAGAGAATGTTACAGCATGGTTCCTGCAATGGATGGTACAGTCTCATTAGCAGACAATGCACAGAAAAACACACTTTGATCAGGATGGATTACAGGTTTGTATAGAATAAATGATCTCTAAAATTAGAACTCGCAAATTAATTTCTCTCTGAACCTAAATCCCTCACCCTAAAATGGCAATGCACATCTAATCCACAAAAATGTAAAAATATGAAAATGTCTCAGCACAAGAAAGATGAATAACCATTCTACAGAAAACCAGAACCTGCAAGTATGTGGAATTAGTAACTCCTCCCTAATAATCCTGGATTTTTGTACAGTATCATATAACTAAATAGAAGATCTAGGGGCAGAAGCTTTGTGAGGAGACTGAGAGCACAATATTAAAAGGCAGGTTTACTATCTGGGCACTTGGCCAAGAAGTTGCATATTCCCAGCCCTGGACAGCAGGGAGAGCAGAGCCACCGCTCCCGAGTAATAGGATTACAGCTCAGAGATAACTAGTAACCTTTCATCTTCAGATGACCAATATGAAGTTTCAGCCTTGGTTGGGAGGGGCTGTTTCAGTTTCTTACTGTCAGTACATGTTTCCTTCCCAACTGTGCAGCTCCTCTTCTGCAATGCAGCTTTAAAAAATTAAACACTATTTTACAACTGAAAAAAAGCTTAGTACGTCCTTTGCCTATTGTTCAGCCAACCAGAAACAAAACTGAGATATGAGACAGAAAATTGTTCATACTCTTCCTCCTGATGCCCGATCTCTTGTGAGATGTTATATAACCCCATGTTCTGCAAGCAGCAAAACAAATCAATTAAGCAGCTTTTCCTTTCTGACTCATTCTTCTTAACAAAACCGTAGTCATAATCATAGACCATCAAAGTTGTCAAAAAGTGAAAAATACGCCCATCCCTATGCAACAAAAGATGTTTTCCCACATAAAAAGCTCCACTTTTGTATAAACTTGGGATTGTCAGATCTAGTTCCATATAATCTTTCTGATGGTGCCTGAGTAATGAGCACCAAAAAACTGTCCCTGTACAATGCAAAGGCAAGAGTTGTTTCTCTGAGCTGTCACAAAGCAGTGATCTCAGTCTTAAACATATGAAGCAAGAAAAAAAATTGCTGTAATTTTAGATTTTAATGGCTTTATCAAATAAAAATGTAAGAAGTAGCGTGGCCTACTGAAACAACTACACTGGACTTTGTTTTGTATTAGTTTACTATACTATATTTAAGATTGCCCTGTGCATTTTAAAACTAAAAAACGCTGCAAGATGGACCAGCATCAAGTGTTCAAACTTATTTTCAAAACCATGGAAAGGTGTTCTTCATTAGTGAATTTTATAAAAAAAATCTACCTTGACTAGTCAGATAAAACAAAGCATTCATTCTAACATCAAACACTGAGAAATGTAATCAAGAATA